GCTAAGATATTCCGATCCGCTTATCTTATCTTACTGAAAAAAAGACATTAGGATTCAATTTTTTAGTATCTTGTCTGTTTGTATCCAATACACGTTAACATGGCTCAAAGGGACTTTAAGTGTAATTTTATGTTACCCTCCATGCAAAGATGGCAACACTCGATTTACGACAGTACTCTTGAAAACTTTGTTTGATCAAATATGAGATATCCATGTTTTTGTTTATTTAAATGGTTTTTTTTCTTATTTTCTTATTCAAACGGTTAATTTTCTTATTATCTTATTTTATTTTTTTCTTATTAGTTATTTTCTTCTTTATCATATTCAGGTTTCAACTCAAGGGTATCCTTGTAAATCGGGCATTTCTACTGTTGCTTGGAGGGTCACTTGAAATTACTCTAACAGTCCCTTTAAGCATCGAACCTAAACTTTATTTTGGCATCCTTATTCTTTCAAGATTATTTAAGAGCGATAAGAAATTTGCCAGTTGATGTCCATTCCCCCCCCCCTGCCATCCCTTCTTAATTCTCCAAAATATATACCCCTGTCTTTGAATACAAAGCTAGAAAATCAACTAATTAAGGTCGGAAAGCAAGTTTAACGAGCCAAGCCCAGCATCAGACTGGAAATCAACTTAAGTTCCTCAATATTCTTCCTAGCATCAAACAAACAGGTATTTAAAAATAGTCCGATTCACAACGATACCCTTAAAAGCTTCGTCAATTCAAGAACAAATGAGATTTCCTTATTGTCTACGAAAATTGATAATTTAAATCTGTTAGTTTTCTTTAAAAGTCGAATGCGGAGCTCTCCTGCAAACATAATCAAATTTCCGCCGAAAAAAGTATTATCTCGTTTAGTCTTGAACAGACAAAGGTAAAAAGGGTACCCTTGGGAATCGGATATGCCACTTTACAATTGAACGAACACTTGAAAAATCCTTTAAATAATTTAATGGCGAATACAGTCCCTTTAAATAATATAAATGTGCATATAGTCTCTTTAAATAATATAAATGTGCATAAAGTCTCTTTAAATAATATAAATGTGCATAAAGTCTCTTTAAATGATATAAATGTGAATACAGTCCCTTTAAATAATATAAATGTGCATATAGTCTCTATAGATTATATAAATGTGGATATAGTCTCTTTAAATAATATAAATGTGCATATAGTCTCTTTAGATTATATAAATGTGGATATAGTCTCTTTAAATAATATAAATGTGCATATAGTCTCTTTAAATAATATAAATGTGCATATAGTCTCTTTAGATCCAATCCTCTTATAATCCTCTTATAATCCTCTTATAAATGTGCATATAGTCCCTTTAAATAATATAAATGTGCATATAGTCTCTTAAGATAATATAAATGTGGATATAGTCTCTTTAAATAATATTAATGCGCATATAGTCTCTTTAAAGAATATAAATGTGCATTTAGTCTCTTTAAATAATATAAATGTGCATATAGTCTCTTTAAATAATATAAATGGGCATATAGTCCCTTTAGATAATATAAATGTGCATATAGTCTCTTTACATAATATAAATGTGCATATAGTCTCTTTAGATAATATAAATGCGCATAAAGTCTCTTTAAATAATATAAATGCACATATAGTCTCTTGAGATAATAAATGCGCATACAGTCCCTTTCAATAATATAATTGCGCATACACTCCCTTTAAATAACTTAAATATGCATACAGTCCCTTTAAATAATTTAGATGTGCATACAGTCACATTAAATAAATAAAATTTGTATACACTAGTCCCTTTAAATAATTTAAATGTGCATACAGTCCCTTTAAATAATTTAAATGTGCATACAGTCCCTTTAAATAATTTAAATGTGCATACAGTCCCTTTAAATAATTTAAATGTGCATACAGTCCCTTTAAATAATTTAAATGTGCATACAGTCCCTTTAAATAATCAGTTGTTTTTGTGCAGATTGTCAACCAGGTCCAGTTGTGAGTATTCTTAACCCTGACGGAACATTATCAAGTCTTCCATTAGCATTTTCAGGTTAGTTCATCAGGGGTGTCCCAATTATCATTTTTAAGTTAGGACAGGGTGTCCCAATTATCATTTTCAGGTTAGTACAGGGGTGTCCCAATTAACATTTTCAGGTTAGGACAGGGTGTTCCAATAAATCTTTGTAGGTTAGGACAGGGTGTCCCAATAAGCATATTCAGGTTGCTACAGGGTGTCCTAATAAATATATTCAGGTTATGACAGGGTGTCCCAATTAACATTGCACAGGGTCTCCCAATAAACATTTTCGAGGATAGTAGTACAGCATTGCCGACTTTGTTAATTAGTAGTTAAATGAGGGAAGCATTTGACACAAAATATCAATGTGAATTAGTCCAGATGGAACCTGACCTTACTCTGCATCTTGATGCACTGCGCCCTGAATTCGGTTCCCTTTTAGATCTATCGATCATTATTCATTATGTATTTACAATTTTTAAACTACGATATGTATATTTAGAAGCCAAGACTTCCCATTCTTAAACTCCACATATATTTAGGAAGCCAAGACCTCCCGTTCTTAAACTCCAAATATATTTAGGGAGCCAAGACCTCCCATTCTTAAACTCCAAATATATTTAGGGAGCCAAGACCTCCCATTCTTAAACTCCAAATATATTTAGGGAGCCAAGACCTCCCGTTCTTAAACTCCAAATATATTTAGGGAGCCAAGACTTCCCGTTCTTAAACTCCAAATAAAACAATCTGAAACAAAAGTTAAAAATAAACAATTCCATTTCTAGGACGCTCTCAGATGGTTCCATCAAGGGAACAGTTGTAAGTTTACAAGGGGGTACCCTTGTATCCCAAGGGGGTAACCTTGTATCCCAAGGGGGTAACCTTGTATCCCAAGGGGGTAATCTCGTATCCCAAGGGGGCTCTTTGGTCTCCCAAGGGGGGACAATTGTTCAGGGAGTGTCTGGTGTAGGAGGAGGCCAGGGGATAAAATTGATGAACAGCGGGGGACAAGCATTTAGAGGTATTTATTTATCAATAAATTTTTTAAATTAATTAATCAATCGAGTTATATATCAATTAATCAATCTATTCATGAATTGATTGATCAATCAATCGATCAATCAACCAGTTGATTAATAATTCTACTCATTCAGAGATTCATTTATCAATAGGTTCATTAATCAAGCAACCAAATAATAAATAAATCGATTTTTTAATGATCCCATTATTCAGAAAATGGATCATCCAATAAGTCGATTAACAATCAATCGATTTAATGATCCTTTAATATATAATTAAAAGTCAATCGATTAATTTATTGATTAAGCGATTAATAGATCATTAATAAATGATAGATGAACCTTATATACCCGGATTGTTTATTGTTTCGTCTATTACACTCATACAAATAATTGTGCTCGAAATCAACTAAAACATTGGGTTAAAGAAATATTTTTTTTCAGTTGTATCTGGGGGTAGACTAGTTGGAGAACAGAGTCCCAGGTAATCTTTGAAGCATTAGACAAAAAGAGTAATCCCTCGGATTTCTTTTTACAAAATTAGTAATCCTTCGGATTTCTTTTTAGAAAATCAGAAATCCCTCGGATTTCTTTTTACAAAATGAGTAATTCCCCGGATTTCTTTTTACAAAATTAGAAATTCCTCTTATTTCTTTTTACAAAATTAGTAATTCCTTGGATTTCTTTTTACAAAATTAGTAATCCCTCTGATTTCTGAAGACAAAAATAGAAATCCTTTGTATTTCTTAAGACAAAAAAAGCAATTCCTCAGATTTCTTTTTACAAAATTAGTAATCCCTCGGATTTCTTTAGACAAAAATAGAAATCCTTCGTATTTCTTAAGACAAAAAAACATCCCTCGGATTTCTTTTTACAAAATTAGTAATCCCTCTGGATTTCTTTTTACAAAATTAATAATTCCCCGGATTTCTTTTTACAAAATTAGTACTCCCTCGGATTTCTTTTTACAAAATTAGTAATCCCTCGGATTTCTTTTTACAAAATTAGTAATTCCTCTTATTTCTTTTTACAAAATTAGTAATCCCTCGGATTTCTTTTTACAAAATTAGTAATTCCTCTTATTTCTTTTTACAAAATTAGTAATCCCTCTTATTTCTTTTTACAAAATTAGTAATCCCTTGGATTTCTTTTTACAAAATTAGTAATTCCTCGGATTTCTTTTTACAAAATTAGTAATTTCTCCTATTTCTTTAGACAAAATTAGTAATCCCTCGAATTTCTTTTTACAAAATTAGTAATCTCTCGAATTTCTTTAGACAAAAATAGAAATCCTTCGTATTTCTTAAGACAAAAAAAATCAATCCCTCGGATTTCTTTTTAAAACAGAAGATAAATGAAAATATCAACAAAACAATTTTAAAGCTAGAAATAACCCGTATTGCTCTAAACTTTGCATTAGAACTGGAGAAAATATATTTAACTTATCCATCATAATAAAATTTGTTGTCAAAATATTCAGTTGTATGTTAAAGCTGTTACTTTTCAAGCCGTCATTCTTCGTCATCATAAGATATAGAATTTGGTGGATTTTTCTGTTTTAATTGATGAATTTCCAACCTTTTTTAAAAACATTTTCCATTTTGACCGACCATGAACCTTTGCTGGTGAGATACTATATAATTTTGACATTTATTGAAAACAGACAAGGAAACCGACATGATTTTCTTGATTTTAGGAAACCCAGTAGTCCTCTGAAACCTTTAGCTTTTAAACCAGAACAGGTATGCCTAGACAGGAGTGTACACTTTTGAAACTTACCTACTCTGGGGATTAGGGTGACACATTTTTTGAGGTGCAAAGGTTCTATGGGGGATTTGGCCCAATATGAGCATTTAGTGAACATTTTAGGTTGATCGGAGCATTGGATCAGGTGCAAGTCGTTTTCGGGGTTTAGACAAAACCAGGATTTCTGATGGAGGTCAATGACCTCCATTTCCAAATTTAACCTCCATTTCCAAATTTTATTTGTAATCCTTGTAGAAGGCCACAATTGGAGGCTACACGCAAAATTTCAGCCTTTTATATCCTTGAGATTGTTTTCCGATCTTGAGGAATCCAAACGAAACGAAGTTTAAATCCTGGCTTAGTTGAGATCATTATGTTTATCTCTCATTGACCGATCTCACCTTAACAGGAAACATCTGAACCATATGACGTTCCAACATAAGCCCTCGTAGATCAGCAGAGATACAGTTTAGAGGTAGTTTGATCAGAGTATCTAGCGCTCCAGATCATAAGAAGAAGAAAGAGATCAGCTTCACACATCAAAGATAATCATTAAGTATAACTACGGTGGTGGAAGACGACCAGAGTAGTCTAGAGAGAGTCTTCAGAGGGGAAGACGACCTCAGTAAGCATCTTCAGTCAGACGGACCATATAAGCAACAGGAGGGAGACAATCCTTAATACATATGTATTTGACTGCATGTGCTTAATAATAACTGATGAATATTTATTAGGTTCATGGATTAGGCTCTGGTAATGAATTCACAATCATTCACCTGTAGATTTGTTTTGCAACCTACTGCGATGGCCTAAGTACTCTATTGTATTGTATTCCTATCCTCTGTCATGATCTACTCATGTTGAACAAGAACAATCAGAACTTAAGAACTTTAATGCAGAACTTCAATCTAAAAGACAATATTTTTAGATTGATCAACTATATATATGGTTTAACTACATAAAAACAATTAATGAAACAATATTAAAGGTTTAGACGTAAAAAAATTTATATACTGTGCATCAACTATCAATTTGCATATTTTATCAATTTACACAATAATATCAGATTCAAACAGGTATAAATAATAGCGTAAGTCTTACCACAGTGGTCCTTGGGGAATAAATATAAGAACAAAACACTTATCCATGGTAAAAGACTCCTGTAACAGGTGTGTCTACTACAGATAATTGACCAACACTGGGTATAATGGTACACTTTATAATCAAAATCAACTACTATACATAAACTAGTTTATACTCAGAACTTTCTAGAACACAGCTTCAGACGCAGTATGAACTTAAGGTGCAACTCAAAGACCTTGACAGGGGCGACTTGACTTATATCTAGCTCGCAAGATGGGTCGCGAAACAAGATTTATACACTCGTCGAATGAAGATAGTAGATTTGTAGGATATTTGTAGATGGTTTATTGTAGGTTGTAGAAAACACATTGTTACTAGATCTATACCACCATTATATAACATCATTACAAATAATTAAGTTGTTAGCTCAAGTCCTATTGCTTAAAATTGAAAGTTGCCTTAAAAGATGTTTATAAACCTCGTATAAAACAGAGACCTCGAGACTTTGTGACTAATGGGTTCATTCAACCCATTCTTCATCTGAAAAAGACGATATATAGTTTTTTAGGCAATTTCCTTATTTCCGATCAATTCTCAATTGTCATTAAATTCTAAGAATGAGCAAAGATTTCTTTTAACATGAAGCTAAGGAATGAAATGTTTTAGAAAGTTTGAATCTTCATGTGTCGCTTCAGTTTCATCTTTCTCGGCATCCACTTCTTCACACTCATCACATGGACTCAGCATTCTTCTCCAGATTATATTAAAATCCTCAGATTCAACACAGAGAACCTTTGCACCTTTTGATTTTATGAATTTCACTTCTTTATGTGTCATCACTCATCCTACAGTAAGGATAGAGAGAGTGGAGCGGGATTTATTACATTTTGAAATTTTAATTTAATAATTTGCTTTATCTTATTCTTGCCTGTGGCGAATTATTAAAATTAATATTTACAATAATTTTCTTCTTTTTCCTCCAGGGTCAAGTTATAAGAACCGCGGATGGCCGACTTATTGCTTTTACGGGTACTGGCAAAAATCTAGGTAGGTCATCATCCCGGCACGGTCCTTTTTTTCACATTTAAATAAGCCTTTAAAAAAAATTTATATTTGAATTTTGTTTTGTTTGCCCCATATGCATTATGCATGGCAAAGCGGCTTTAATCGCATTAATATTGTTAAGGATATGAAAATGCACTGTTTGTTTTAGCAACAATAAGTCATATTATTTTCAGTATAATTAAGCATAGAAATATAGAGTAACATTTAAAAAACAAGGATGAAAAGCGCCGTTAGATTTAAACCTTTAATGCGTTAATAGTGCCTCGGATCCATTTAATTTTGATCCCTCCTGAATAAAATGGACCCGGATCCGGATTCAGGTCATAACAGGTTATACCATTTCGATAGTAAAGAAAAAATTTCAAATTATTTTCTTCTTTTTTTGTTTATTTTATGTAAAAACTCGAAAACCATTCAGAGACAAGGAAAATTTGAATAATCTCTTTATTTAACAGTTTAGATTTGGGCTGTGAGAGCAACAAGTTTTTTCCCCTTGAATCCGGATCCGGATCTGGATCCAGAAAGCCAAGATATTCTGATCCGGATCCTGAGCACTGGGGTTTAACCTTTTTTATCCTTTCTTTGATCTTCAGTGAATTTTAAAAAAGCTTAAATTAAATTAATTTTTTTTTTTCAGTTTTATCCAGCCCTAGCAAGCAAGCATCAGAAGGTAAACATTAAAAGGATTGTTCTAGTTATTTCTAGTCATTCGTTGTTTCGATTTGTCCACAAATTTTGACTACAGTATCTTAATCCTCATTCATGATGATTTTGAAATCTTCATATTCAAATTGAAATTAAAATAAAGCTAAAAAAAGATGGTATTTAGACAATATTTTTAGTGTTCATTGATTCATAGAGTACATTAGATTCACAACTGTACCCTTGAAAGCTTTGTTTGATGAAGTAGATAAGGATATCCATGTTTTTCTCTTGAAAACTGAGTATTTTCAAAATTTCCTGCTACAGAAACAATGGAGGAAATTGTTAGAAAGAAACAATTATCAACCTAGTAAAACGATAATTTCTTCCATATTATCTATCTTATAATGGTTTAAAGGGTATAGTTGTGAATCAGACAAGAATCAGAATTTTATTAGTTTTTATTATTTTATTTATTTCTAGTTGTTGGTTTACATGATTTAGAATCCTCCTCACCAACCACACAGAAGATTCAATATGTTAGGTAAAATCAGGGTGTGCTCAGTTAGCTGAACAGGACAGGACAGGACAGGACAGGACAGGACAGGACAGGACAGATTTTCGATGCTAAGGGTGGATAGAATGGTTATCAAAGGGAAGCTTTTCCTTCTGTATTGATACATTGAACCCAACAATTCATCATTTCCCCACACAAAAAACTCATCTTCCCCGAATTAGAGGGAAAAAACATTAACTTAACATCTGGGGGTAAAAAATGTTCTAATAATATGGGTTGGAATTAACATGAACTCATGCAAGTTTTGCTTAATAGTTTATCTGCCTAGAGATGAGTGCCCAGGAGCTGCCTGGAATTCGGCCTCGGAAACCCTGTAACTGCACCAAATCACAATGTTTAAAGGTAACAGATTCTTTCTCATCTTAGGCGTTATATCTTGTATATAAATGTATGAGTTTATTAAATCCTGAATGCTGGTGTTATCCAGAAAAATTTCGATTTTCTAAATTTTAACATAAATAAAAAGATAAATGAACAAAAATATATATTCCGGGGAATTAAAATTTGGAAGCTAAAATTTTACACAAAGGGCGCAAAACACAGGAAAGCCCTTTTAAAAAAATCGATTCTCAAAACATAATTCCATCCAAATGGATGATTTTGAACGTCGACTTTGCGCTTAAACTCCGTGATTAAACATCATTAAAACCTTTTATATGTCTGAAATGATTCCTAAAAATTCCACAACTACATTCTTAGTTCAATAATCATACATTGCCAGTCAATCCCTTTAATGTGCAATTTTAAAAACACTTCAGTATAAATATTCAGGGTTGTAAATGCTCAAGGGGGAAGTCAAACAGTTCAAATTAAAATGCCGGAGAAGACGTCCCTGAACCTTCAGCAAGTGCAAGGCATCAAGAGTGTAGTTCCTAGTAATGGATCAACAACCTCAACTACTTCAACAACACTAGACAACAGCAACTTCCAGACTAGCTTTATGAAGGAGGTGGCACAAGCTAAAAAAGGTCAGTTAGAGTACAGTACAGAACAGCACAGAACATGTCAGAACAGTACAGTACAGTACAGTACAGTACAGTACAGTACAGTACAGTACAGTACAGTACAGTACAGTACAGTACAGTACAGTACAGTACAGTACAGTACAGTACAGTACAGTACAGTACAGTACAGTACAGTACAGTACAGTACAGTACAGTACAGTACAGTACAGTACAGTACAGTACAGTACAGTACAGTACAGTACAGTACAGTACAGTACAGTACAGTACAGTACAGTACAGTACAGTACAGTACAGTACAGTACAGTACAGTACAGTACAGTACAGTACAGTACAGTACAGTACAGTACAGTACAGTACAGTACAGTACAGTACAGTACAGTACAGTACAGTACAGTACAGTACAGTACAGTACAGTACAGTACAGTACAGTACAGTACAGTACAGTACAGTACAGTACAGTACAGTACAGTACAGTACAGTACAGTACAGTACAGTACAGTACAGTACAGTACAGTACAGTACAGTACAGTACAGTACAGTACAGTACAGTACAGTACAGTACAGTACAGTACAGTACAGTACAGTACAGTACAGTACAGTACAGTACAGTACAGTACAGTACAGTACAGTACAGTACAGTACAGTACAGTACAGTACAGTACAGTACAGTACAGTACAGTACAGTACAGTACAGTACAGTACAGTACAGTACAGTACAGTACAGTACAGTACAGTACAGTACAGTACAGTACAGTACAGTACAGTACAGTACAGTACAGTACAGTACAGTACAGTACAGTACAGTACAGTACAGTACAGTACAGTACAGTACAGTACAGTACAGTACAGTACAGTACAGTACAGTACAGTACAGTACAGTACAGTACAGTACAGTACAGTACAGTACAGTACAGTACAGTACAGTACAGTACAGTACAGTACAGTACAGTACAGTACAGTACAGTACAGTACAGTACAGTACAGTACAGTACAGTACAGTACAGTACAGTACAGTACAGTACAGTACAGTACAGTACAGTACAGTACAGTACAGTACAGTACAGTACAGTACAGTACAGTACAGTACAGTACAGTACAGTACAGTACAGTACAGTACAGTACNCTGGAAATGTCAAAGATTTTAACTTTTTGTGAATTTGGCTTTGCCATCATTGCATGGAGAGGGTCACCTGAAATAACGCTTACAGTCTCTTTAAGGGTCAATTGAAGTAATTTCATTCCTTTATCATTTCTCACCAAAAGCTTAAATATTATTCTTTAAAATAATTTCAAAATAAAAATCTTTTAAGTTTTTCATTTATTTGTTTAGGTCAATACGACAGTGTTTGGAGAGAAATCCTGCAGCTTTTCAACCAAAGATTGGGAAAAATCCAGTAGAAGCTGATAGAAGACATAATAAAGGTGAAATATTTTCTAATGATTCTCAAATGATGATAATGATGATAATGATGATAATGATGATAATGATGATAATGATGATAATGATGATAATGATGATAATGATGATAATTTAGGCTGTAACTGTAAAAGATCAGGATGTCTAAAGAACTATTGTGAATGCTACGAAGCCAAGGAATTCATTTTAAAAAAAATTTACTTTGTTAAAAGCTGAGACGCATAATATGCAGTGTGAGATTAAAAAAATAGAAAACGTGATAACCGTTGTTTTTAACAAAATTATTTTTGTGAATTAGATTGAAAAATACATTTTAGTAGGTACCTGCTACATTAATCTGCAAAAATATTTTGTTTTGAAAAAAAAACAAAGGTTCATCATAATTCTTTGTCATTATAATTATTTTTTTAGTTTGAAAATTCTTCAGTACGTATTTCGTACAATCATCATTGTGATTTGTGATATGCAATTTTTGATTGAATGGATAAATTAGATAATTTGCACAGATATTTGCAAATGTGTGGGATGCAAAAATCTAGACGAGAGGTAAGGAAAAGCTCTAGATGCAGTGTTGACCAAAATAATATGGAATAAATGTCTTATTTTATAATGGTTCTAAAGATTATGTAATTTATAACTGAAATTTTTTAGACGTAAATCAGTTTTATCTTTTACAAATTACTGTTGTGCAGCTAGATATAAATCTACCTTTCTACCCAGTACCTACCTACCTACCTACCTACCTACCTACCTACCTACCTACCTACCTACCTACCTACCTACCCACCCACCTTCCTAACTAATAGGACTTTTAAAAGGGGTATTGGCTAAATTAGTTTTGAATTCTTGGGTACTTAATTTTCAAAGATTTCGGGAAATATTTCACATTTTTTTGTTTATCATTAATAAAATCTTAAAAGCGACTGTCGTCGTAATTTCAAGTGACCCTCCAGTTAAAAAAGGGTAATGTCCGACTCGCGAAGTTATACTTTAAACCTATATCTGATACTGTGGAAGATAGTGTTGTTGTTCTATCTTCCCATTGTATCTGAAAACGCAATTGAAAAAATTAAATTTCTCATGGAGAAACATCAATCTATATAATAAAGCAAGACATTCCTATATATATGTTGCCTATAGCCGGCCAAACGACTGGACTGAATGGGTTGAAACTTTTTTGTGGACCGTGGGGTTTTAAAGGCGAAAATTTTTTTTTCCACGGGCAACGCCGGGCCCTTAGGCTACTAGACTATTAATTCTTGATCAGACAAAGCTTTGAAGGATACTGCAGTGAATAGGACATGCCATTCTTGACATGAAGGTTCACTTAAAATTACGTTTACAGTCCCTTTAAATTGATCAGTTAGTAACTAAGTAATAAATAATTAAATCAATTCTTTAATATTGTAAAAAATTAAATGCCAAATCGATTTATAAATACTCGTAAATATTTAAATGATATGCAGCGAGACCCAAAAATCTATGGAATATAAAGACAACATAGAAGCAATCTTATATGTTCTTGGTTTTCTTATAAATAAAGTGAAATGGGTCACGATTTATAAATACTCGTAAATATTTAAATGATATGCAGCGAGACCCAAAAATCTATGGAATATTAAGACAACATAGAAGCAATCTTATATGTTCTTGGTTTTCTTATAAATAAAGTGAAATGGGTCAGTGTATACTCAACTAATAACGTCTTTTTTTCCTCATTGGACTATTTAAAATCATGACAATCATCTTCCTTTTCCATAGTTTTCTGGTTCTTACTGTATTTGTTTTCCTAGGACGGGAACTAAAGTCTCCTCTCTCAACTATGTTGATGAACTACCTGACGAGTCTCTTAGTGTTTCAGAGAAATGGTTCAAACCATCCTCCAGTCTTAGGTGAGTTGCATGGAATATTTACCAGGAACCTTGAGTACCAGATTAGCAAGAAATATATACCAGGGACCTGGAGCACCAGATTAGCAAGAAATATATACCAGGGACCTGGAGTACCAGATTAGCAAGAAATATATACCAGGGACCTGGAGTACCAGATTAGCAAGAAATATATACCAGGAACCTCCATATCGTTGTTACTAATAACTAATTTGCTCCATGCGTCGGTTTGAAATCTCCTGTTAGCTCCATATTGGTTTGGAATATCCAGAGGGGTTAAAATGTTTAATTTATTTAATGCATGTGTTACATTCATTGTTAAAAAGTTCATTTGATCGAATTAAAAAAGATAAACCCCTTACTCCCCCCCCCCTCTGTTTGTGGATTTGCATTACGAACATGGTAAATTAAATTCTCAAATTTCATCTTATATAAGTTTACAATGCAAGCAAAGTATATAAATATATATAGATACCTTATATTCCGAGTGTCCTTCACAATTTTGAAATGACTGTATCTCTGCAATTTAATGTCAGAAATACGCAAGTATATCATTGTGAACAGATCTCTGGTTTTTTGTCATTCTCTTGAAAATTTTCTTTACAGAACCAACTTATTAATAGTCATGCTTAAGTTGGCAATAAACTCTATGTGAAGCAGAATTAATTTTTTTGTTAGATGAATAATTCTTAACTATTCAAAACTTTTATGCTTTTAAAAAAACATGGTGGGAAAATCGCCTATTAGATGAAAAACTGAAATTTTTGGAATTATTTGCAGATTTTCTTTGAATATTACAGTTAATGTTTATTGTTTCATTTACTCAAATCTTTTAACAGATTTAAAAAATTCCATAAAAATTGTCAAGATTAATAGGACACCCTGTCTGAACAAATATATATCAATTTGTCTATTCAGTTCAGATCTAGGTTCGGTTCAGAGAAAGCATTTTTTCGTTTTTTTGGGGGGAGGGGGTGGATTGCTAGAGAATTTCAAATAAACATTGAATGAACTAATTTAACTTGTTGAAAGAAATAAAGAAAAAAAAAAGTTCCAAAATTGTATAGAAAAATCTGTTGATTTAGCTGCATGCTGTCCGATCAAACCTGATAGAAAATTTAAAGTTTGAATGGTACTTTGAGACATTTTTGAGTGATTTTTTTAAATACACACTTGATTCACAACGGTACCCACCCGTTAACCCCTAGGGGAGCCAAATTAAAAAATTACTCAGATAAAAGTTTTATTGATGACGATGTGAATCGAGCATGGCATTTTGTGAATTGAGTTTCACTTGAAATTTCAGTTTAATATTTAATATTTCTATTTATCTAGATCAGAACTGTTGCAAGCTCCGAATCTGAATCTGCAAGCAGTCCCTTTAATATTTCTATTTATCTAGATTAAAACTGTTGCAAGCTTCGAATCTAAATCTTCAAACTGTCCCTAAATATTTCTATTTATCTAGACTAAAACTGTTGCAAGCTCCGAATCTAAATCTTCAAACAGTCCTTTAATATTTCTATTTATCTAGATCAAAACTGTTGCAAGCTCCGAATCTGAATCTGCAAGCAGTCCCTTTAATATTTTATTAATCTAGATCAGAACTGTTGCAAGCTCCGAATCTGAATCTGCATGCAGTCCCTTTAATATTTCTATTTATCTAGATCAGAACTGTTGCAAGCTCCGAATCTGAATCTGCAAGACATCAACGTGAAGAAACAGCCTTTTAGTTTTGTCACCCAGGAGGTAGGTTTTAGATATAGTGATGGGTATCGTGTTGAGAAATTTAGGTTTTTTTACGTTAAAATATGTTCCTCAAAAATGTGAGTTATTAATTAAATCGCAAAATCGTTTTCTCGATAAGTTTGCTTCAATTACATTTGCGAATTTTTTCTCTGGTCAAAGATATTAACCAAAACGATCAGATATTTTCTGTTCGTTTTTTTGGTCAGAATATAAACTCTTGCAGAGCCTCTTAAAAGTCTAAAACGTTGAATATTGAAAACGATACCATCACCATCGGCTGAGGCATGATATTTTGAGATTGATGCAAAATGTGAGTTTTTCTGCATTAAAGACTAGGTAAATTTTAAAGGGCCAAACACCTTGACGTTTGGTTTTACCTTACTAACCCAATGATACATTTTTGTAGTCCTAGACATGACATATAAATTTTAGATCTACAGTTAGCTGGTTTCTATTTTCTATACAGTAGAAATAATATGCTAAATATTCAGCACATTTTAGATCTACAGTTAGCTGGCTTCTATTTTCTATACAGTAGAAATAATATGCTAAATATTGAGCACATTTTAGGTCTACAGTTAGCTGGCTTCTATTTTCTATACAGTAGAAATAATATGTTAAATACTGAGCATATTTTAGATCTACAGTTAGCTGGCTTCTATTTTCTGTACAGTAGAAATAATATGTTAAATACTGAGCATATTTTAGATCTACAGTTAGCTGGCTTCTATTTTCTATACAGTAGAAATAATATGCTAAATATTGAGCACATTTTGGATCATTTATTACGGTACACTTAAAATCTTGATCTGATTAAAAATGTTGAAGATACCGACGTTTTCTTGACCCAAAAAGTGTTCAGTTCTAATAATTTCTTCTTTCTTATAAGCAAAAAATGATCAAGTCACTTTTGCAGAGAACCCGTAAATGAAAGGTAAACAGTTTAAAAGGAAACCAAAACATTCTAATTCATACTTGTTAGGACAAATCTTTTAAGGGTATCATTGTAAATCATGCGATGCCATCATTGCATGGAGGGTCACATGAAATAACGCTTACAGTCCCTTTAATTCTGTCTGTGCTTAGGTGGTTGAAGCCACGTGTCAGTGTTTATTAGCCCAAGCTGAAGAGGGGGAGAAGAAAGATTTGGATCCGGTACAGATAGAGAAGCAGGTATACTTATGTACAGGACTTGAACCAAATATGACGATCCCAAGTTTAAATTAAGCTGTATTCCTTGAATGTGGGTTTTGAATGGTTTATTTAATGATTTGGTAAAAAAAATCATGAATATAAAGAAACAGCCAGAATAAATGCTACACAGTCGTCTCTGAAGTCTCATCCTGTGCGTTGTACATAAATTGTCACGTATAGAAAATGAGACTTACAGATTTTATTTAATCTTTTTCTTAGCATGCTCGTACTGTGTTTTTCTTGTTTTCATAGATGTGTGCAGACTTAATATTATTTTTTTAACTAAATAAACAATTTTTTTAACAGTTTACCTGAACCATATTTTTTTATACTCATTTCAGCGGATTCTTTTTACAGGATTTCCTTTCAAGACTCAAACTTCTGGCATCATTTTTAACTTTCTTTTGAATACTTTTTATCATTATATTGTCGTCTTTTTCCAGGTTCTTAAGCCTTTCAAAGTCTTTACCTTTTTTCTACCTAATGTCGGCATTATCTAGGGTCTATCCTTTGTCTTCTTTATTCAGTTTCTAATGTCGATTTTACCTAAAAACTAATGTCTTTTTTTAAGGTTTTAATGTTATCTTTACCTAGGTTCTAACGCCTTTACCTAGGTTCTAATGTCGTCTTTACCTAGGTTCTTATGTCGTCTTTACCTAGGTTATAATGTAGTCTTTACCTAGGTTCTAATGTCTTAACATAGGTTCTAATTTCTTTACCTAGGTTCTAATGTAGTCTTTACCTAGGTTTAATTGTCTTTACCTAGGTTAAAATGTCTTTACCCAGGTTAAATGTCTTTACCTAGGGTCTAATGTCTTTACCTAGGGTCTAATATCTTTACCTAGGGTCTAATGTCGTCTTTATGCAGATTCTAATGTCGTCTTTAAGGATGTTCTAATGTCGTCTTTACCTAGGATCCAATGTCATTACCAAGACTCTATTGTCGTCTCTATCCATGGACCATGTTCTAAATTCTAATGTTACTTAGGTACTAATGTCCTCTTTTTCTAGGTTCAATGTCGACTTTGTCAAGGGTCTAATGTCGTCTTTACCTATGTGCTTATGTCGTCTTTTTTAGGTTCTAGAGGAGTTTGGAAGATGTCTCAGTCAGATTATTGATTGTGCGAGCAACTCCAAGCAATATAGTTAATGTATTGTTTACAGTGATCCTAAAACTGTGGAATAGGAAGATGACAATTATTTTAAGCAATCACTTGTTCATTAATTAATCTTATTGAAGTGAAATGGGCCTGTGAACACTGCTCAATTGCTGAATGTTTTTTGACTTAAAATTCACAACTTGAGTCTAACAGCTGACTTCTATTTCTGGGTTCCACTGTACTTCTCTACAAGTTATAAACTATGCAACTTTGTTAACGTAATTTAATGGACTTGTATCTATTGTCAAAGTTGTCAAAAAGGATTGAATTCTGTAATTTTACTCCTTTGAAGAAATTTTTAAGTTGCTTTCATCAAAAGAAAGAAAAATGAGCGAGTCTTTTTTGTGTTACTTTCCACAGATTAAGATACACGTTTTTATTCATTAATGGCAAATTTGAATAGAAGGGTCCATCAAACTTAGTTGACAAAGCCTTTTGACTTAATTTTTACTGTATAAATGTAAAAAATGTATAATTTATGTATTGTACATAATTTAAATATGTACTTAATTAACAAGTTGAGGTTATTATATGTACGCCATTGTACCTGATTTTCCTGAACTTTCAGCAGGGGTGTATATTTTCTTGAAAAATCATTACACCCCCTCTTGGAACAACATGTCTTTCCCAAGAAGTTAGGGATATTTGCTCGGAGCATTGGGGAAAATAAATTTGCTTTAGAGGAAAGTATCCTAAAGTATTAAAAAACTGGCCTTTTGTTGTATTTTTTTTTTAATTTTTCCTTGAAATTTAAGTTTTTGTGTAAACCTTCAGACACCAACCTCTCCCCTTTTCCCTTGCTGAGCATACAAATTAGAGGTGGCTTTTAAAGGACTATAATGGCATTCATGGGCTTATTTTTCTGCTCTTTTTCTGTTTTCTTGTAATATTTGTTTCCATCCCCACCTCAAAAATATTAAACAAATTATTTAATCAATTAAAAGAATTATAAAATATAAGGGGGGAATGTTAAGACTTACTAAAAGCTAGTACATGTGTAATATTATATTTTTGTTCCCGAGAATCCTTTAAACTTTGAAAAATTTTCTTAATAGAATTAAATTCTGGTTTCAGATGTTAATCTTTCTATTTCTTGGCTTGTTGACCGACAGCACAGTTGGGTCACCTGCTCCCATTCTTTTTATCATTCAAGCACAACATGGAGCTTTTCATACAGGTTGTTCTAGCAGTAAAGCAACTAGGGGGGCGTTGTTTGATTAACTGATTTGTTTAATGAATGATTGATTTATTAATTTAATGACTGTTTCATTAATTCATTTGCAGATTGATTAAATGATTTTGTTAAATGATTTATTTAATGATTTATTTAATGATTTTTTCAATGATTTATTTAAAGATTTTTAAAATGATGTATTTAATGATTTATTTAATGATTAATTGTCTTGTTGACTTATTAAGGGATTGATTGGTTGATTGAATTGTATTGCCTGATTTTGATTGTCTATTTTTTGGTATAAATTGATTCATTGATCGATTGTTCTTGTTAGTTGGTTGGTTAGTTAATGGATTGATTGATTAATGATAAATAATTAATTGATTTTTATTGATAGATTGATTAATTGCTTAGGTATTGCTGAGAAGAGTCGAGCCTCTATTCTAAAGCAATGGGAAGCAATGGTACCTAGTCACGTGATGGATCCTCCAAACGTCGTCTTCACAACAGAACTAGAGGTAAATGTCGTCTTCTTAACAGAACTACAGGTAATTTAAACGTTACCAAAGGTAAGAAATGGCTCATAAGAAATAGAGATTCGTCTCAACGGAGCAAGATTTAAATGTCTTCTCAACAGAACTAGAGGTAAATGTCGTCATCTGAACAGAGCTAGTGTTAAATGTTGTCTTCTCAACAGAGCTAGAGGTTAATGTTGTCATCTTAACAGAAATAGGTAAATGTCGTCATATCAACAGAACTAGAGGGTTATGTCGTCATATCAACAGAACTAGAAATGAATGTTATCATCTCAACAGAACTTGAGATGAATGTTATCATCTCAACAGAACTAGAGGTGAATGTTATCATCTCAACAGAACTAGAGATGAATGTCATCATCTCAACAGAACTAGAGATGAATATTATCATCTCTACAGAACTAGAGATTATTGTTATCATCTCAACAGAACTAGGGGGTTATGTCATCATCTCAACAGAACTAGAGATGAATGTTATCATCTCAACAGAACTAAAGGGTTATATCATCATCTCAACAGAACTAGAGGTGAATGTCATCATCTCAACAGAACTAGAGGGTTATGTCATCATCTCAACAGAACAGATTAAATGGGAGATATGTTATCCAGTAATGAAGATATAGGTATATACAAACCCTTTAATAGATTATATGGGAGATATATTATCCAGTAATGAAGATATAGATATATACAAACCCTTTAATAGATTTTATGGGAGATATACTATCCAGTAATGAAGATATAGGTATGTACAAACCCTTTAATTGATTATATGGGAGATATATTATTCAGTAATGAAGATATAGATATATACAAACCCTTTAATAGATTATACGGGAGATATATTATCCAGTAATGAAGATATGGGTATGTACAAACCCTTTAATAGATTATATGGGAGATATATTATCCAGTAATGAAGATATGGGTATATACAAACCCATTAATTGATTATATGGGAGATATATTATCCAGTATTGAAGATATAGGTATGTACAAACCCTTTAATTGATTATATGGGGATATATTATCCAGTAATGAAGATATGGGTATGTACAAACCCTTTAATTGATTATATGGGGATATACTATCCAGTAATGAAGATATAGGTATGTACAAACTATTTAATTGATTATATGGGAGATATATTATCCAGTATTGAAGATATAGGTATGTACAAACCCTTTAATTGATTATATGGGGATATACTATCCAGTAATGAAGATATAGGTATGTACAAACCCTTTAATTGATTATATGGGGATATATTATCCAGTAATGAAGATATAGGTATAAACAAACACTTTAATTGATTATATGGGGATATATTATCCAGTAATGAAGATATGGGTATGTACAAACCCTTTAATTGATTATATGGGAGATATATTATTCAGTAATGAAGATATAGGTATGTACAAACCCTTTAATTGATTATATGGGGATATATTATCCAGTAATGAAGATATAGGTATTTACAAACCCTTTAATTGATTAAATGGGAGATATATTATCCAGTAATGAAGATATGGGTATATACAAACCCATTAATTGATTATATGGGAGATATATTATCAATATTAATTTCAATATATTATTTTCAATTTAGTTCTCCTGTATGCTAATATTAATTTATTTATTCTATTTATTCGTACACAATTATAATGGTATAATTTAAAATCAACAAGGAATGAGATATATAACATAAAAAATATAGAATTATTATATAGTCGAAAACAATAAAAAAAAATAAAAAAAAAACTTAGTTAGTTTCTACATATATCGTCAATAATTACAGCTATTTCATCATAGTTAAATCCTTCTAAAACATTTTAATTTGAATGGATTAATAGTAAATCTTTTAACAGTGGAATTCTCCACTATTTTCAGTCGGATTCGCGTAAATCATGTTTGACTTTACTAGAGACTTGTTCAAGGACAGTTTATCTACATCTATGACTTTTTCGGAAACTAAAGGAGTTTCTGGCTAAAGAATATTAATTTGACAATGGAAACTTAAACCTACATTGGATTTTCAAAAATATTTAGTATTTTGTCTTTGTAACTAAAAAGTGCAATGATATTAATATCGGATATTTTAAGTACCCCTGAATATGTTATTCAGACTGGGTTGGAATACTGGACGAGAATACAGAACTCAATCTTCGTGTTCTGGGAGAATATGTTAAGATGAAACAAGGAACACCAGCTTTTTAACATATTTACTTTTTAAATTTAAATTTTAACAAAATTCTATATGTATTATGATGCCAGCTGTAAGTATTTGGACAGTTCTGTTTTTCTAAATCTCTATTTTCTTCTTGTTGCGTCCTCCATCCTGTTCGGCTAATTTTGAAAAAGAAAGAACATTTTATTGTGAGGTTCTTACAATTGCTGCCGAGATTTGCAAGTTCTCAAGAGGCCCGGCCCGGTTTTGCGTTTTCTGAACTCTGTATATTTTAATGTTTCAGACATCTAATTACACGAAGAATAAGCCATGTTCACTTTTGAAATACAAAAATCATTTTTGAATTAATGTTATTTTCTCTACAAGCTCACAATCTTATGTATTTTAAATGTTTCACTTTCCATTAAAACCCACCTTTTCTTCGGTCATCGAAAGAAATCATAAAACGTCATTTTCTAAATTCTGCTAATATTTAGTTTTTTAATTGAATAATTAAATTGAGCTCTTGTAAAACTTGTAAAACTTGTAAAACTTGTAAAACTTGTAAAACTTGTAAAACTTGTAAAACTTGTAAAACTTGAAAAACTGTTCCAGCATATTTCTTGTTTATTTAATTATGTTTACAACTACTGATGTTCAGGTATGATAATACCATTGAAAAATCAATATTTAACACTCCATATTATGAAAAAGGGGAAATTTTAAAATGAAGATTTAAGATTATTTTATTGCTTAATGCTGGTCAGGAGAGTTGAGCCCGAAGACGACCTCTCTGTTTATGGGTCATGAACTCACGGATGAGGAATCTACCATCATTCACCATTTCAGTTCAAGTGAGCTCAGGTACATCTTCAAACTTCAATCCTGAGATATACGCAATTAAACTAAATCTCATGAATTTCTAAACCATTATCCGGCGGATATTGCAAGCGCATGGACTAATTTCTTCTTGTTTTTTGAATTTACTATCAGCTCCTATGGAAGTTCTCATTCCAATAACCGACATAGACACCTATCGGTGCTCTTTCGAAATAATAGTCTTTTACAACTAGGTACCCGGATACGCAGGCTGGAATATTTCTGTCTCGGAAACTTGTTCTTGACTTACAGGGATTTATATTTTCCAAAACTATGATGACTTGAGGGAGGGGCTAAGCATTTAATAGAAGTACTAAACTGAGATGTCCACATGTTTGGTTTCCTTCAAAGAATCACCCCCACCCCAAAATTTCGGAAATCCGCCAATGCAAACAGGAAAATCTTCAAGAAATTGTTGTTACTACTTCAAAATGTACGAAAGACTTGTACAAAATTATATCTAGAACTTAACAATTTTAAACAGAAGAGATTGGGAGTGGGGGGGGGGCACAAAGGAAAATATACCCCCATGTTCCCAGGAGAAGTATACTGGAGATCCTAGCCTGGATTTCCACATTGACCCAGCATACGAACTGACCGATTTCATCAAGGCACAGTTGGGAATAGAATTAACCAACGTGAAGGAGCTCTGTCTCAGGGAACCTAAGAAAGCAGGAAAAGAAATATAAATATCAAGTTGGAAACTTCCAAGAGAATCGTTCTAAACTTCTAGTAACCCCACATGCATTGCCCGATTCACAACGGTACCCTTGAAACCTGGATCTGATCAATAATATGGAAGATAACGTCGTTATTCTAGGCTTAAAAGTGTTTTAATTCTGATAATTTGTATATGATTTCCTGTTGTAGAAAGGCTCAAGTCACCTATGTTAATAAATCGCATCTGAAATAATCAGTTTTCGTAAACTTTAAATATTAATGTATATTATCTCGATACTCGATCAGACAAGGCGTACAAGGATATCCTTGTGAATTAGACATTGCCATCCTTGCATCAAATTCAAGGGTTACTCTAAATTACGCTAACTGTTCCTTTAAGTTTTTTTAACTAACAATAAATGACTATTATAGTATTTTAACGGCGTAAAACTCTGAAATCCAATAATATTTGCAAGCAAATAAAACACCCATGGCGTGGGTACCTAGTACCCTAGGGGTGACATTGGTACTGGGTACCCTAGGTACCCCTAGGTACCCTAGGGGTGACATTGGCTTAAATAAACAAATATTTTTTTTATAAAATCTAATTTTTTTAAAATTCCAAATTTGTTATTTCCGACATGTTTTCAAAATTCAACGGGCAACGCCGCGCCGGTCATTTGAGCTAGTAAATTTATATCCCTGAAACTAGGAGATAAATGTATAACGTACCCCCGGCACCCCTACTCCTGTATAAAACGCGGGGATGGAGGTGAACAACTGAAAATGCTTGAGTCTGTTTATACAATAGTTTCAACTTGTCAACAGTATCATAATACTAGGTAAGTTCATTCATACATTCATTCATTTAAATGTTCATTCATTCTTTGAATCATCCTTCATTCATACTTTCATTCTCATTAATTTATCCTTATATTCATCCTTTTATTAAATCATCCATTCAATCATTCATTCATTCATCCTTTCATCCTTTTATACTTTCATTTTTCATCCTTTCTTTCATTCGTTAATTCAATCATTCATTAAATTATCCTTTATGTTTTCATTCATTCATTAAATTACCCTTTTACAAATTCATTTATTAAAATATCCTTTCGTTCATTTATTTATTAAAATATCCATTCATTCATTCATTTATTCATTAATCCTTTCATTCATTTATTCATCCTTTTATTCCTCCTTTCATTCATTATTTCTTTCATTCATTCTTTAATTCTTTTTTCTTTTATTACTTTTTTCATTCTTTTTCCTGTCATCCTTTCACCTTTTATTTATTTTATTTATTTGTTAAAAAAATTAGTATGCTTGTTACAATAACTTTAATATATTCATTCATTCATTCTTACAATTATTTATTTTATTTCAATGTTTACTATTTTTTAATTTTGTTTATTTAATTATAATTGACTAGGGTTGAGATAGTAAAGAAAACGTGGGCCGACCTTATTCCTAATCTTCATTTTATCAGGTTAACAGATAAAGTTTAACTGAACCTAAAGATGGTTTGTCAGATTTACAAGGGTACCCTTTAGACTTTTATTTGAACAAAGATGAAGCTATCCTCGTCTTTCTATTATTAAGAGTATTTAATTTTGAATATTTCGCTATTTTTCTCTGTTGAACAATTCGGCAAGCCACTTTAAAAGGGAACCAATTTGAAAATGATAAATTTTAATTTAGACAACGGTTCAAAGGCCACCGTTGTGAATGAAAAAATGGAGGGTCAGTTGAAATTACGTCTCCATGCACTCTTCATTGGAATATCTTTATATTGTAGATTTTTTTCCTAATTTTGTTGTGAAATTTTTATATTTGTTTAGCTTAACCTCAGGACGGAGTTGAATTGTTAAATATGCCAAACAAACTTTTTTTTGGAATGAATAAATAAAGGATTTTTCGGGATGAATTTAACTTATAATAGATGATTTCTTGAAATAAATACTTGATGTTTAGGATAAATAACATTTTTTATATTAGGTGATTACAATCCTCAAGGTCATCTTCCAAGATAAATTTTTTCTTACCGGTACGGGTCGGATAGTCCTGTAGGCGGTCTGGGTTGCCCAAGATGGGGCTTCTTGCAGATCTCATCTCACATAATCACATAATCACATAACATATAAAAAAATATTCTGTGCGCACACCAAAGTGGGCTATGGTGCGCGCGCCTGACAATTTCATCAGTTGCAGGACAAAATTTCATCATAGATTGCTGAAATTTCAAGGATTTCCCCATGAAGATATTATACAACTTTTCATAAATATTTTCCATAAACCAGTAAATATTTCTTAATAATTTTGTCCCCCCAAACCCACACATGCCTATCTTCAAGAAAAATATTTTATTTTGGAGACATTTTTGAATTTTTCACATGACTGAGCTGAAATTTTAGAATGATGGATATCAAGATTAATGCTTAAACTTCTGGTTTACTAAACCCGAAATTATTTTAATACACATTCGATATCCAAGAAAGAAGTATAAAATTCAACCAATCAGCGTATCATGTTAAGATGTACTCTTTAACTTTTGAAAAATCGGGTTTTTTTCTGTCATATCAATTGAACTAGACATTGATTAAATAAATGTGAGTTTTGGATTAATGTTTGTTAAGACTCGTTTTAAATGATGATAGTCCTAAAATGTGATAAAATATATTTTTAAATAGGTTTGTATTAACATGATTTTTATATTTGCTTAAATGCTCTAAAAGCCGGTTTGTGAACAGCTGACTTTAATTCAATCGATATTTATAGTTCAATCGATATAGCGTTGTATCTGTAATTGTTATCAAACGTAACTTTTATACAGTAAGGATATCCAAAAGAGAGGATTAAGAATAAAATCATAAGTGTGTACATTTAATACTCAGATTAAGCGATCAGGATTAAGGATATCTTATTCTTAAGTTTCCAGCTCTGGACACATAGTGGGGGGGAGGGGGTAATCCTGGATATTCTAGAGGAGGGGGGTTGAAGGGGGGGCATTTAACCCTAGATATCCTGGAGGAGGGGGAGGGGGGGGGCTAGATAACCCTAGATATACCAGAGGAGAGGGGGGGCACTAGGTGTCCAGAATGGCATTTTTAGTTTTAAAATCCTCGAAGTCTCTTTTTATGTTCAAAATAGTTCAAATTTTCAGAATCGACAAATTTTAGGCAAAGGCATTTTTCCTGATAAAAATAATATTCTGTGCGCACACCAAAGTGGGCTATGGTGCGCGCGCCTGACAATTTTATCAGTTGCAGGACAAACTTTCATCATAGATTGCTGAAATTTCAAGGATTTGCCCATGAAGATATTATACATATTTTCATAAATATTTTCCGTAAACCAGTAAATATTTCTTAATAATTTTGTCCCCCCAAACCCACACATGCCTATCTTTAAGAAAAATATTTTATTTTGCAGACATTTTTGAATTTTTCACATGCCTGAGCTGAAATTTTAGAATGATGGATATCAAGATTAATGCTTAAACTCCTGGTTTACTAAACCCGAGATTATTTTAATACCCATTCGATATCCAAGAAAGAAGTATAAAATTCAACCAATCAGCGTATCATGTTAAGATGTACTCTTTAACTTTTAAAAAACCGGGGTTTTTTTCTGGTGTTAATTGTGTCATATCAATTGAACTAAACATTGATTAAGTAAATGTAAGTTTTGAATTGATGTTTGTTAAGACTCGTTTTAAATGATGATAGTCCTAAAATGTGATAAAATATATTTTTAAATAGGTTCATATTAACATGATTTTTATTTTTGCTTAAATGCTCTAAAAGCCGGTTTGTGAACAGCTTACTTTAATTCAATTAATTCAATCGATATTTATAGTTCAATCGATATAGCATTGTATCTGTAATTGTTATCAAGCGTAACTTTTATACAGTAAGGATATCCAAAAAAGAGAATTAAGAAAAAAATAAGATTATACCCTTTTCTTTAAATTTGTATTATTTTAATTCACACATGTTTAGGTTTCTTGAAACAGGTTTTCCTTGGCTTCTGATAGTTGATGATGACACTATGTTCAGTCCTGCCAGGAAAATACAAATCTATCAAATAAACTTTCAATCAATTAATCTACCAATCAGCAATTAAGCAATTGATTTAAAGAGTCAATTAGATAATTATGAAATGTTAAAAAATGTACTGATCAATCAGTTATTACTCTAATCAAACTGATCAATCAGTTATTACTCTAATCAAACTGAAACAATAAATCAACTCGGCTTCTCTAGTAAAAGATTCTTTTTAACCGCCAATATAGTAACTGAATACTGTAAATGATAAATATTTAATATTCTGTAGATTTGCCCAACAGTTATCCTGCTATGATGCAGCAGAACCAACCATACTAGGTACTGTTTCATTGCATTGTAATGACAATCATAATATTAATTTTGATAATGTTAATAATAATGTTAATATGAATTATATGAATAATAATGATACTGATAATGATAATAATGACAATAACAATGATGTAATAATGATAAAAATATATTAATTACAATTATAGGAAAAATTATATATCTGTTTAGGTCAGCGGTATGGTTACAAAGTTGGCGGATCCAACGGCGGTTACAATTACATCACTGGCGGAGGCGGAAAGATAATAAACCGTGCGGCGGTTGAGCGTTTGATTGCTGAGGCGGATGGTTGCAAGTGTCCCGAGGCGAATACACCGGAAGATATGCATATATTCGGCATCTGTGCGAGACAGGCTGGGATACGTCTTAACCATAGTTACAGGTAAACAACATTTCCCATTCACAACAGTACTCTTTAAACCTTTGTCTGAGTAAGAATTATTTATAGAGTAAGAATTATTTATGAAATTATATTATTTTAAATTTGGGGTTTCTCTTCAAAATTGACTTACGCATTTCTACTGCAGGAAAACATATTTGAATTATCAGAATAAGTTCCTTTAACCCTAATGAAACGGCAATATCTATGAAAAGTCACTTGATCTACGCTTACAGTCCCTTTAATAATATATATTGATCTACGCTTACAGTCCCTTTAATAATATATATTCAAATATTAAGTTTTCAGTTCAAGTTCAAGTTAGCTTTTTTTTTAACAAATCAGAGACTCTTTTTTGATCTACAAAAATCTACGTTTGTGAATTTCTTTCTAGATTTTTTCCAAATATTAAAAAGTATTTTGTTTAGGCAATTTCAGGGCCGTCCTAATGATTACCCTATAGCCCTCACCTCGCAAAGGAGTGTTCATATTTAAATATTTTTAAATTTCGATTTATTAATTGTTTTACATTTTTTTTCTTTATTTAGAAATGACGGATGTAAAATGCCGCTGATTTTTCATTTTTTATTATGGATTTTGACAAATCATAATTTCGACCGGATTGTGAGTTATTATAAAAAATTAATTTTATAGATTTTAATTTTTGATTTTATCTAATTGATGTATTCTTCTTTTTGTAATTCGAAACTTAATAAGGCAAATAATTCAATTTTACACAAATATTATAGAAATAAGTGATAGTTTTTATTTTCATTAAAAACACAATTTATTTTTATTTTTATAAAAAAACAAGATATTTTTTATTTTTATTTTAAAAACATTTCTTTGAACTTTTTAAAACTTGTTAAAAGATTGTGTACATAAAACGAATGTAAACACTAACAACAGGAAACCGGTTTCTTTTCATAAACATTGGAACAATGACCCTCTAGCTGTGTACAACGAATGGTTCAGGTCAGATTTTATTTGTAAACATGAATTTTCAAATAGAGCGTAAAAGATGTTGTCCTCCATTCTTTCTCTAAGAATATACCGTCCTGCGGCCTGCAAAGTTATTAATTATTTGCACTTCTATGTTATTTCCTTTAAACCTATTTCTATTATTAACTGTATTGAATTCTTATGATTTTTTTAAAAATTTTATTGGGAGCGTTAGATTTTGTAAGATTTTGCTATAGACATTAGACACTACAAAAAAATGGATGAAAAACAACGTACTAGTGGGCATTCTTAAATGAGACAATAATTCCTGCACCCTTCCATTTTAAATGACACACCCGATTAATAGTGGTACCGTTTTATGCTTTTTTCCGATCAAGAATGCATAAGTTATCCATCGTAACCTCTTTGAAAATTCATCATTTTCAATTGTGGTTTCTAAACAGATTCGATTCAGGAAGAGTTGAGATACTTTGATCTAAAGGAATTTAGTCTTTGCCACAAACTCTTGAGTTTCAAATCCGCATATCTTTGCAACCTAATTGTGCCGTTTCAATCTGTGAATTCTAACAGATCTCTATAATTTTAAGTTTAAAATAACAAAGATATACACCATCGGGTTGTAGAAATAAAGGGATTAGAATATTTTTTAGTGTGACAAAGACTAAATTCTTAATATTTTTTGCAGGAAAGCAGATTCTGCACTTCGGAAGCTGAAAACTGCTAATCCTTCTTCAGAGAAAGATGAACTGTAATCTATCCAAACCTGAATGTCCAGACATTGAAACCTGAATATCCAGGCATTGAAACCTGAATATCCAGACATTGAAATCTGAATATCCAGACATTGAAATATGGATATCCAGACAATGAAACCTGAATATCCAGACATTGAAACCTGAATGTCCAGACATTGAAACCTGAATGTCCAGACATCTAAACCTGAATATCCAGACATCTAAACCTGAATATCCAGACATTGAAACCTGAATATTCAGATATTAAAACCTGAATATCCAGACATTCGAACCCGAATATCCAGACGTTGAAACCTTAATATCCAGGCATTGAAACCTCAATATTGAATCAGGAAACCTGAATATTCAGCCTAAAAGCCAGAGTATTGAATATGGAAACCTGAATATTTTGTCTAGAAACCTTAGTATTTAATATGGAAGCCTGAATATTCAGTCTGGAAACCTGAATATCGAGTCCAGAATCCAGGCCAGAGTAAGAAACTTATAAATGTGGATTACTAAAAACTAGTTCAAGCTAATAATAGCTGGAAATATTCACCGTTTACCAATGATATTGCTAAACCCTTGGTGGTTTAGCAATATCATTGGTTAAACAAACTTGTTTGATTTCCAAACCTCAAATTGATTCTTGAAGCACTAAATGGTGAATATGTCCAGCTGTTATTAACTTGAACTAGTTGATAAGGTGGTTTAGCAATATCATTGGTTAATTTTTTAAATTTCCACATCTGATCTAAAAACTAGGAATCTCAAGGTCTAGTGAAATCCCAGATTTGAACCAGAAGTTCTTAAAATGACAAGGCTCAAACTTTATTGTATTTGATAAAGAGCAAGTACCAAATGGCGCTTTAGTTGCCTAGTTTAGTTCAAGGATTTATTCTAAAGGGATTGTTAGCTTTTTTATTTAAATTTCCAAATCTTTATTTTATTCGGATAAATCGTTTTTACTCAAAGTTCTGATCACTTTGACTCTCAGGAGCATCTTTGAGCAGTTACTTGATACATCGCCGATCCCTAAACCTGATGGCATTTTAGTATTTTGAAATATATGAACAATTCTAAAAACAAAACTTTAAAAAGCTTTGCCTCAACGTGTTTAGATTTCAATACACTTTGTGCTTTATAAGTGTTTCAACAACTTGATATAGATTTCCGACCCTCTTAGGGTCCCTCCTAGGGGACCTTCTAGGGTCCTTCCTACCACTGTGATTGTGATTTTAGTCCTTAATATGAACATGTTTTTTCAGGGGGCAGAAGTTCCAAACCTGACACTGACGAAATTCTGAATGTTGGTTATTTTTTAACTTTTTTGTTAGCTTGGGAATCAACTTAACTTATTGCTTATCTAAGCCAAGAATATTTCCGTTGCTCTACCAAGTTCCCCAAATCAAAATTTGTGGCAAATCGGTTAAGAAGTTTATGAGCTATGGTCAGACAGACAAACTGAAATTTGTGGGCGGGTTTTTAAAAGATTTATAATAGTTTAAGTTAAATTTGGCCAAGTTACGGTTTGGAACTTCCCCCCCCCCCCTGCATTTACTTCTAAAGTATTGTTAATGCAATTCTTATTGTTTGTTTTCAAACTTATTTTATAAACTGTATTCATTATTCACCTGTATTGTGTTTCACGTAAAATTGTGTAAAAGCTTATTAAATAGTGTGTTAATGTATTGGATTGCAAAAGTTTCAGATAAGAATGGAAATGAACTTGGACGAAGGTAGGTGGCTGGCTGGGTTTTAAAGGGAGTGTTTACGAAAAAGAGATTGAATCCGAATCAAATGATTACTTTCCTGTTCAAAGTTAATTGATATTTTTAGTTTTCCACTTTTTTCAAAACATTGTGGATAAGACTGATAATTGATCTAACCAATTTCTCCGTTCATGTTTCATGTTCATGTGCATTAAAGGGACTGTACGACGCACGTGTAATTTCAAGTGACTCTCATTCAAAGATGACATTTCCCGATTTACAACGGTACTCTTGAAATCTTTATCTGATAATAACGTGGACGATATTGTCGCTTATCTTGGTTGATTTTCCATGTTTTTCTTATGTGCAGTAGAAATGTGCAATTCACGTAAGTAAATAAAATAATCAGTTTGATGACAACGTGAAACGGGGATTGCCATCCTAGCCTGGAGGGTCACTTGAAATTACGCGTACAGTCCCTTTAAATAAATTTGTATTCAATCGAGAGAAAGGGTATTTATATTTCTGATAAATTCAATTTGAATAAAGAAACCTTTTCAATTATACAGATTCTCAATACAGAATTGAAATGAAGCCTGTCTTCCTGAATATAAGCGTTAGTAAACTCAGATCTGTATTTATTTTATTATGTTTCATTATTTTAATTGACTGTTAGAACTAGACCTCTTTATATATGTTATAAGTTGACCTTTTTATTATTGATCTGCAAGTTAATGGAGAATACGGATACTAAAAGATTCTGCAGACTTTTCCGTTTTCACTAACAGGAAATAAATCTTTGGGGTCATGGTAGGCCCCACACAAAAATCGATTAACATATTTTGGTTCTTTAAAGGTGAAAATGACTGTTGACGTTTTTATGATATTATAGAGGACGTGAGTCAAACTCTAATGAAACGCATAAAATACTTCCAGTAAATATATTTCTTATAACTTATTACTAGAGGGTTAAGAACATGAGTAATTATCGATATCACACGTGTAGATGTTTTCAGTACAATGCCCCGTATCCGTTCTATCTCATTCTGTTGAATCTTGTGGGATTTGTTTAATGGGGCCAGGCATCGTCTTCCACAATATATTAATATTTCCGTCAATTCTCTTAAACATAAATCCGTCATTCACTTCTGGAGGAAAAGAAATAAAGTCATCTTTTAGAGGAAAAAGAAATTCATCAAAGATCTGAGAAAGGTTTGAGGTCTACAGTTATGCATCATCGGACAAACCCCTTGAGTTAGGGGACCCTTAAAATTACGTCTACTGTCCCTTTTTTCAAGGGGTAAGATGGTTCGTGGTATTTTTGACAATTGTGTTGTTTTAATTTAGGTATTATCAAAGAGTTGGCTTTCTGGAGAGCTAGAACTGCAGGAATTAGTTTCTTTTTTCCTCTTCCTATTTCTTAACGCCCCACCCCTCTTCTTTTCATATTGACCACCTCCCCCACCCTTGTTTCTTCCTTTTCCTCATTGTAATCTTCTGTTCTTCTAAATCTTTAGTTTCTCATCAATCTAGCCAGGGAACTGAAGATGTAGCCCTTTATACTAAGACTGGCATGGCGGATTCACTACGGTATCATTTTAACCTTTGATTAAGCTAAAATGAGCTGTCCTGATTTCTCAATCTGATAATTGATATTTGTCAATTGCGATTTTCTGACTTTCGGATTTATGCAGTAGAGCACGAATGAATGAGGATAATTGAAAGAATGTTTAAGGGTACCATTGTGAATCAGGCATGTTTTGCATTTAGAGTTATTTAAAATTATGTCGATAATTTTAAAATAAAAAATTTTGTTTTTGTCACTTTTTGTAAGAAAATGTAAGTTTTGCAGCAATGAAATTTTTTTTGTCACTTTTTGTAAGAAAATAAGTTTTGCAGGCCTTGAATACGAAAATGCTCAGCTTTACTCTCTCATTCATAACATAACAGGGTTAGATTTGAGGTAATAATACACACCTTTTAAAACACAGAGTTTTAGCTATTTTCTTTTTTAATTGCTTAGACTCTTTTTAAAGATGAAGATTTAATTATTCTTGGAAATTTCATTTTTAAAACTTTTAGGTTGACTGCTTCCAAAACAGCAGCTACAGCTTCTTTAACAGCTTCGCTGCCAAGTGGTAGAACTGCTGTAGCTACAAAAACAGCTCCATTGTTGAGCAATAACCAATACAGAGCAGCAAGGAATATTGAAATTTATATAACTAGGCTTTTAGAGCGCTTCGCGCCCATCTTCTGTTTAAATTGTGAACATGTTATTTTTGTTTACATTTTAAAACAAAGAAGAAGAAAATTTGCGGATTCAAAAAAAAAATTCGCGGATTTTCAAGAATTTAAATTTTTTTACGAAGTTAAAAACCTTTAAAACACATTTTTTTCAAATTTTTATCATTCATAAACCTTCCCTGTGGTCACGTGATGTCCCAAAAAAAATTTGGGCCCGATCGGTTCAGCCGTTTTGACGTTTATTGGATACAAACAGACAGACAAGCCAAATTTATATATAGATAAAACAAGACATTCATATATTTGTTCCCATAGCCGGCCAAACGGTTGGATCGAATGGGCTGACTTTTTTTGTGAACACTTAGGGTTGTCCGTAGCATGTCATACGATAAAAAAATTCGATCTGGACATTTATAAATTTTAAATTGTTTGCTGATACAGTTGAAATTCTGCACTGCCGTTTTTTAGCTAGAGAAGCCAACTTGTAAGGGATATTGTTTTGAAATATTTTAGATACGTAGATATTTGTGGCACCGCCGGTTCACAACTATACCGTTAAAACCTTTTTCTGATCATTGAGGAATGAGATATCCTCGCTGGGTTTGCCGAAACTGGACAGTTTTTGCACTGTTGCAGAAACAATGAAGGAAAAAACGATGATATTTTCCTTATTTTCACACTGAAAAAGGTTTAAAGGGAATCGTTGTGAATCACATATGGAACTTGATAAATTGAAGGTCACTCAACACTACAGTCCCTAAACTAGATTTGATCAATTACTTCTAAAGAAGAAGTTTTTTTAAAATTATTTAAAAATTATTCAAATTTCGATATTCCATCATTCTAGAAATTCTGAAACTTCATCATCTTCTTCCTCATCTTTATCCTCTTCCAGTGAAGTAAGTGAAGTTCTCCAGTTTAATCCAGAACTTTGAAAGACATCGAAAGAATTTAAAAAATGTTGTCTTGACAGTTTTTCAATGGCTTTGTATATAAATAATACCTAAATGTCGGTAATTGTTAAAATAAAATAAAATAGTAACCAAATATGCGGGAGCAGTTTTAAAGTTTTAATTTAAAAACTAAATATCTGCAGTATTCCAGTATTAGCACGTTTATGAAAACGACATTTTATAGATTCTTTAGATGTCTCCGAAGTTCTGTGGTAAACTGTAGTAAATTCATCATTTCTTAATATAGTATTTTCTAAATTTAAAACCATGATGAAAGACAAACTTCCGAAAAACAACCCTCTGAAAGACAACCCTCTGAAAGACAACCCTCTGAAAGACGACCCTCTGAAAGACGACCCTCTGAAAGACAACCCTCTGAAATATAACCCTCAGAAAGACAACCCTCTGAAAGACAACCCTCTGAAAGACAACCCTCTGAAAGACAACCCTCTGAAAGACAACTTCTGAAAGACAAACTCCTGAATTGCAAAGCAAACCTATGAAAGAAAACTTCTGAAAGACAAAACTTCTGAAAGACAACCTCCTGAATAACAAACTCTTAAGATACAACCCTCAGAAATATAAACTCTTAATTGTAAATATCCTTAAAAAAAAACCTCAAATCCAAAAAAATAAAACTCTAAAAGAAAAACTTATTTTTGACAAAGTTACGAAAGGCAAACTCCAGAAATATGCTATGGGGCAAATTAACAATTTTCTGGATTCATTCTTTTAAGTTTTTCCTTTTAGAAGTTTGTCTCTAAGAAGCGTGACTTAGCGGTTGCTTTAGTTTAATTTTACTCATCAATATTCTCTTTTATTTACTCGGAAGAGATAAAAGAAAAACTTTTTAATGAAATTCTACCGAATCATTAAAAATAATTTTTTAACAACTAAAACTTGACAGTGTTCATATGTTTAGGATGAATCTGACGAAGAAGAACTTGAGAAGAGAGAATTGAAGGAAGTAAGGAAGAAGAAGCAGACCGAAGACGACATTAAGAAGACACAGCCCAATCACGACATCAAGAAGAAACAGCTAAAAGACGACTTTAAGAAGAAACAGCCAAAAGATGACATTAAGAAGAAACAGGCTGAAGTCGACATTAGGAAGGGAGAAACGGAGGCAGAAGAAGTTGAAAAACAAGAATTGGAAGATTTTCTCCAGTTTATGAGAATATCGGATGAGCACAAGCAAAACAGAAATGATAATGCCAAATCTAACAATGAAGGTAGGTGAAGTTTAATTAAGTCTTTCCGTGTTTTTTCTTTCAAGAAAAAACTTAATCCCTAGAAATCTTGAGAAACATTAACATTTTCTTTGAACAAGTTTAGCTTTGAATTTTGCTTTTCAAGCCACCAGTTTTTCTCCTTGCATAGTATAACTTAAATTTTTGCGAATATTTTTGTTGCTATTGAATATCAATGGATTTCCAAAAAAGCTAAAATTTTACTTTTTTCATTCAAAATTTGTCAATTTTGGCCTGCCGTCATAAGCCATAAATCATAAAGGGTGTAAAGTGTGAAATGCGCATTTGGGCTGTTTTAACTTTTATTGGATACAAACAACAAATTGACGAACCAAATAGATTCCAAATTTATTTTGTTCATTAACATTTGTGAACTGTAAGCGTAATATCAAGTAACCTTCCATGCAAAAATAAGCAATGCCAGAACCACAACGGTACCCTTGAAACCTTTGACTGCTCATCGAGTAGAGAGATCTTTCTGTCGAAACCCGCTCGAATTCCTTTAAATGTGCTTTGTACAGTCTGCCTTAAAACAGCTGATCATATACTTTCGTAAACCTTTCTGAGCAAGGATTATCCTTATTCTTATAGAAGAAAATTGAGTTCCAGTAGACGCAAGGTTACAGTGTACCCTGCGCAAGTATGTTTACACTTGAGGTGTACAGGCACTTAAAACGGTTGAAAGAGTACCGTTGAAAATCTGACATGCCACTCTATGAAAGGAATGTCACAAAAATACATTTACACATGTTTATTTACTTTAAGGTGCATGAGGCTGAAACAACTGCGCAGATGAAATTTGATAAATTTTGTGATAAAACTCGAGCCAAACCCTGGCCTATAATTCCATTTAGAATCAAATAAATATTTTCTAAGAAATCGGATAAAAAAGAGTTGTTGACTGGTGGAAAGATAGTTTGCTTATTTTTTCAGAAAAATGTTTGAAGATGACGAAGATTTTGAAAATCTTGAGTTTGCTGCTGGAATCCTGGAAGAGAATTCAAGGAAAATTCGCAATTTTTTCTTTTCTATAAAATAAAAATTAGAAAGAACTAGAGATTGGCCTGGTTTTTTTTTTACGACCAAAAATTTTTATGTAAATGGGTCTCGTTCAGAAAGAAACAAACAAAATGGATAAATGAAAAAAATATCGTATTTAAAACTTCGAACTAACTTGAAAAAAATTATCGTGTTGTTTTTTACTGAACGAACGATTTTACTGAATGATCGTTCAGTGAGAAAACTAAACGAAATAGATGGAAAATTATCGAAAATTTGAGACCGAACGAAATCAATTTTTTTTAACGATGGAAAAAATGGGTCATTCATTAACGATCAAACCATCAAATCCCGAAAGTGTAAAGCGAAATGTTTCCAAAGATTTTATATTTTAAAAGAAAAATGTGAATGTTTCCACAGAAAAAATCCAGGGTCGCCCTTTAAGCCTATCTTCGAAAATCAGGTCTATTTACAGTGCAATCTTCATTTTCTTTTATTCATGAATTGTCGTTGTAGGTTCCTTAGGCAAATTATTCCGGGGATAAGGGAACAGCCGTTATTAACCTAGATTTCAATCATTATTATCATTATTATCATTATTATCATTATTATCATTATTATCATTATTATCATTATTATCATTTTTATCATTATTATCATTATTATCATTATTATCATTATTATCATTATTATCATTATTATCATTATAATTATTATAATTATTATTATCATTATTCAGATGAAGAATACTTTTAAGGTCGACCTATCCATTTAATATGGTAGTGTACTATACTTTTCATAAGTAATGTACTAATTATTTCAATTATTATTATTATTGATTGTCATTGATTGTTATTTTTACTGTTCTTGTTCTTGTTCTTGTTCTTGCTCTCATTGTCGTTATCGTTGTCGTTGTTGTCGTTGTTGTTGTCGTTATCGTTGTCATTGTCGTCGTTGTCGTTGTCATATTTATTAAATTGTCATTGTCATATTTAATGTTAATAATTTTAATTATATTATTATAATTATTGTTATTTTCATTTTTATCGTTATAGTTTTTATTATTATTACTATCAATATTGTTATCGTTATAGTTTTTATTATTATTACTATCAGTACTGTTATTTAGTTATTGTTATTATCTAGGCGGCAATGTTTGATGACAATGAGCTCTTTGAGCAAAGTATTGATGAAGTTATGTTCAGTCAGATGCTAGATACGAACAAGGAATCATTTTTTAACATTTCATTTCAACATTAACTCAAATCAAATTGTTAAAATCATTTAAAATCAATTAATATCAATATTTTTGAAAATGTTCAAATCATTTCAACACCAATTCAAATCAATTAAAAGTAGTTCAATGTAAATCTATTCAAGTCAATTCAAATCAATTCAAATCAATCGAAATCAAATGAAATCAGTCTAAATCAATTCAAATCAATTCAAATCAAATCATTGAAAGTCATTTTAAATATTTTCAAACCAATTCATACAAATTCAAATGTATACATTAAAATCATTTAAAATTGTCGTTTTATTGTTTTGAGACAAAAAACATATTAATATCCTTCTTTTTCTTTTCAAACAGAAAAATAAGTATATCTTAATCTTTTTCCCAAATAAAGGTAAGAGTATCGTTTTGAATCAGATATGAAAGTAACTTTTTTAATAAAGGGTTTCTTTAAAGTTGTGCACAGTCCCTTTAAACATATTTTACAATTAAAACTGATTTGGTAGCAGAATGTTCAGAATGTGCAGAATGTGCAGAATGTGCAGGGTCCAAAAAAACCTCTTGGATCAGGAAAACCAGATGAAGGAAGAATTGAGTTCAAAAGGTATTTAAATTTTCAAATCCCCAAACAATATTTAAATTTTTAAATCCCTGTCACGCTTTCTGTTTTAAAAATGTTTTTTAATTGGGGGCATTTTTTTTACAATTGGGGGCATTTTTTTAAGTTGGGGGCAAAAAATTATTTTGGGATCGAAAAAATCAGCTATTTTGGGAATTATATTGACCCCTGCCTACCGATCATCCTGAACCCCAGTTAATGCAGTCATTTTACAGACCCCTTGAACCAGCTTCAACATTAAACAGGCCTGGGATAGTCCAGGGGAAAAGGTCTGGAACCAACGTTCCATCTCCACCTAAAGAAGGAAAACGAAAATTCCCTGGTATTGAAACACATACAACATCTCCGCCTAAAGAAGGAAAGCGTAAGTTCCCTGGTCCAGCGGGAATTCTTCCTAAACTAGGTTAGTTTGATCTATGACTTAAACACTATCGGAATAAAATCCTCTTTATTATTATCGTTTACTCTTTGATATTTCTATATTAAAAACATCCCCATCACAATCAAGGAGATATTGAATAGAAGGAGGGGGCAATAGGGTTTCCGTATACTTTGCTGTGACGTTTTTGGACTGCTGAAGAACTAGTTTTTGCGTAACAACAATAATAAAGATTGTAAACAATAACACAAATGATAAACAGACATCTGGCATCTCTGGCGCGTTAGATAAAGATTCACAGTATACTAACTCATGTTTGTTTACATTAGATCGGCTGCCTTTGTTATTGTTGTTAGGCAAAAACTAGTTCTTCAGCAGTCCAAAAACGTCACAGCAAAGTGTACGGAAACACTATCGCCCCCTACTTCTATTCAATATCTCCTTGATCACAATATTGTGGGCCTTTGAGGCACAGCAGGCTACAACAGGGGCCTTTCACTGTAGCTAGGGGATTTATACTTGAAAAAAGTCTTGTATTACAAAACTGGCATAACTTGGCATGTAACAAAATTGTTAAAAATACAAATGTGCTCTAAAGCAAAAATGCACTAAAACAATGTTAGCAAAAATGACAAAAACGTTGTAGTACCTATTAAAAAGCTCTTCTGAGCTGCTTATTCAATAAAAAAATAGAGCTGTTTTCAGCTCCTGGATGTCGGAAAGTAGTTCCTGAAGAGGACCCTGGAGAAAAAGATGAAAAAGAGGAACATGCAGTATCTTCTCAGGATAATGAGGTAAGTCAAGGGTATTCATTGCTTAAAGAACCATCCTTCCCTCAACAATTTGTTCAACCATAACCAAAATACTTGAACAACAGAGAACAGAAGGATCCTCCTTACACAAAGTTTGGTTACAACTTTTTACTAGTGTGTTAAAAGATTAATCACATAATGATCCAATCAAAAAGTTATTTGTTTGTGACAATTAAAATTTATTGGATTTCAAGCATATTTGATAATAAGAAACTTTATTTCTTTTAATGGCAAGGGGAAGGGTTGGACTGGAAATATATTTTCTATGTTATTAATTATTAATCAAATTTGAAAGTTTATTGTTTACATGTACTTAATTACAGTACAGGAATGTTTATTTGGGGATAATACCAAAGTATTGTAAATAACGTTTAATAAGATATATTCAAATCATATATTCCCAAGTAGAGTAAAGGTTACAGAGTCTACTATATGTTAACAACAAAAATGTGATGATTTATTTTCTCTCTTTGCGCTTTTAAATTGATCCTCATAATTCTGAGCTGTTTTAGAAGTAATAAAATTGTTAATATGAATGTACATTTTTAAAGCTTAGAAGAGTTTTAAAAATTTAACAATGCTGATTCCCATGCACAACATACCAGCAATACTGCTTAGGAGGTGGACTTAAGCAGCTGTGTTGTGTGGAGAAAAGCAGTACAGGAGATGGATATGGATAAGAAAGATGTAAGATCATTTTTCAAGTTTTTAAAGTAGTATTTTATTTTACTACAGTCATAACCGGAAAGACCCAGAATAAATTTTCAGTTATTTAGACAACTTTTCACTTACATCTCTAGTAATTTTTAGCGCACAATAAAGACAGACCACATTTTGTAATTGGACTAGAGCTATTTTGTTATTATTGTTTCATTATTCATAATTGTAAAAATAGATTGTAAAGTTGTCTAATTAATTATAAATTAATTATAAATTAATTATAAATTAATTCCGGGTCTTTCTGATTATCAACGTATGCTTTCAGGCCATTAAGAAAACCTTTTCCAGCCTAATTTTTGCTGTTCTTTCTTTCATTGCACAGTTATATATGACTGTGCTATGTATATGCTATATTCTGAAATATTGGACATAATTCAGGAAATTTGGTGTGGTTGGAATATGACTACATTATGTTATTTATCGCAATTCAGGTTTTTTTAAATGTATGCCTGGTAAATTATAAGTTAAGAATTGATTAAATGAATTTGAAGTCAACCTTTTAGTCAAAGAAATGAATAAAAAAAATATATCCTAATAATTAAAAATCTCATAATAATTACAGGGTAATTAATCCATAATACTGATTTATTTATTGAGCTAATTATTCTATAAATATATAATTTGTGTGTTAAATATGTTGTCTTTATTTAATATGTTTTTGTGGTTTTATTGGCAGTCCACTTGAGATGGCCAATTACAGACATTAAGGCTTGGATCAAAATATAGAGGAGATGGACAACTCATGAGGATTGGGACATTTCCATCACATTCATAGTACTTGGCACAGTCAGTGGGGTGTGGGACAAATACGGGTAATCCATCATTGCTGTCTGGGCATACTACATCGAAAATTGCTGAAGTTGTTGTTGGGGCTTTTGTTGTAGTTTCTGGCGATGCTTGGGTTGTAGTTGTCTTGGTCTCTGTTGTTGTTTCCTCTGCAGCTTCAGTTGTAGTTTCTTCTGCAGCCTCTGTTGTAGTTTCTTCTACAGCCTCAGTTGTAGTTTCCTCCCCAGCTTTGGTTGTGGTTTCCTCTGCAGCTTCAGTTGTAGTTTCCTCTGCAGCTTCAGTTGTAGTTTCCTCTGCAGCTTCTGTTGTAGTTTCCTCTGCAGCTTCAGTTGTAGTTTCTTCTACAGCTTCTGTTGTAGTTTCCTCTGCAGCTTTAGTTGTAGTTTCTTCTACAGCTTCAGTTGTAGTTTCCTCTGCAGCTTCAGTAGTAGTTTCTTCTGCAGTCTCAGTTGTAGTTTCCTCTGCAGCTTCAGTTGTAGTTTCCTCTGCAGCTTCAGTTGTACTTTCCTCTGCTGCTTCAGTTGTAGTTTCCTCTGTGGCTTCAGTTGTAGTTTCCTCTGCAGCTTCAGTTGTAGTTTCCTCTGCAGCTTCAGTTGTAGTTTCCTCTGCAGCTTCAGTTGTAGTTTCCTCTGCAGCTTCAGTTGTAGTTTCCTCTGCAGCTTCAGTTGTAGTTTCCTCTGCAGCTTCAGTTGTAGTTTCCTCTGCAGCTTCAGTTGTAGTTTCCTCTGCAGCTTCAGTTGTAGTTTCTTCTGCAGCTGCAGTAGTAGTTTCCTCTACTGCTTCAGTTGTAGTTTCCACTGCTGCTTCTGTAGTAGTTGTTGTTGTTGTACCATGAATACAGTCAACCTCAGATGGCCAGTTACAAACATTTAGATTTGGATCAAAGAAAAGTGGAGGAGGACAAGTAAATAAGAATGGTTTGTCATTATCACATTGGTAGTACTTGGTACAATCTGTAGGGTGGGGAACAAAGACTGGAAATCCATCCTCACTCTCCAGACATACTGCTTCCTTGGCCATTTTCAAACCTGGTCGACAGACCACTGCGGTTGCCAATACACAGCTTACAAGTGCTAGTTCCAGCTTCATGTTGTAGTTTGCTCTTCTATCCTTGAACTAGTAACTGCAGTAAAGCATGTCTTGGTTTTTATTCAAACCCTTATCTTGAAAGTATTTGATATAGGACGTAGGTTCAAGAAATCGCTTGCGTAACATTTATGGACATTATTTCTATAGAATAACTTGAGTAAATATAGTTATACAAGGATGAATTAGAAAGAAAAAAAGAATGCATGGAAGTTTATTTGAAATCATGTATTTACGATAATTTAACCTTTATCTGACCATATTAAGGAATATATCATCGTTTTTCTATCTGAAAAATTGCAGAATTTTGACAATTTCCTTCTTTTTCTCCAGCTGCATCATTTTTACTCTGACAAAGGTTTTAAGTTTACGGTTGGTGAATCAGACATGCCACTCTGAAAGTGGAGGCTGATTTTGTCTAGTTTTTAGCATTGCCAATTCTAGAATGCTTTTTTGTATTTTGTCTAGTTTTTAGCATTGCCAATTCTAGAATGCTTTTTTGTATTTTGTAAGCTTACTTTAGGCAATTTTGAATATTAAGAGGCGGCATATTTTTGAACATTTAAATACATATATCTTAAGCCATAAGCATACTTTAAAACTCTGCTTTAAGTCACACATTTTGGATGAAAATATCCACATTTTATTCTTGATTTTAGTTGAAACTGTAAATAATTAATAGGCCCAATTTTTTTAAGGCTAACAGTGGAATTAATGCTGTTTAAAATAAACTTTTATTCTATTCATACAGTTAAAAAAGTAACCAAATTTACCATTAAAATATGAACAAATTATGATAAATGTTTTGTCTTTTATGATTCAGTACTCTTTCATTTATATGTTTACATTGATTAGTTATTTAGTGTTAATAAAAATTTCCGTTTGCTCAATGTTTATTTGCTTTAGATAAAAGTATGAATTCCTAGTATTTTTGACATAGAAACAATGACTATCTGTTGTTAAATTAGAAATTAATCACGGGAGGAATTCAGTGTTTAAGTTTAAACCATCAACAGGGAATTGGGATATAGATTGTCTGGGCGCTGAAGCCACAGATTCAATAGTTTCACTCACAGGATTGGTACGTACGTAGTACGTACTTTTTAGATGTTTCTGTTGTGGAAACATCTAGAAAGTACGTCGTTATTAGGATTCTCATTCATGTTATCATATTGTTCCAATTGTAGTACTGAAGTACAGAAGGAAAGTGTTAAAGTAGAGAGGTAATTAGGTCTCCTAACAAGTCTCCATCTAGGATAATTGGGGTTTATCCTTGGATATGATGTAAACCGTAAAGGAGCTTTGGCCCTGACTTGATCGAATGACGAGTCGTCTTAGAATAATATAATAACAATGATAACAATAATAATGTTAATATTTTCCTAAATTCCTTTTTAATGTGCTCCCCCTGGTCACTCACTGCAAACCAACATGTGCACGCTCTCATCTGAAAATCAGGCAGTATTTTTCCAATTACTCCTTTCAAACTAAAACTAGAAACAAGCCCGTCGTGTTTTAAAAGGGCTACAAAAAAGTATAAAGACCAATGCGTAGCAACACTTTAAAGTCGAGGCTGTCTAAAAATGTGAAGACAAAGTTTCAGAGTTGTCTATATCTCAGTGTTGTGTATTCTAGCCGTAGATCACACCTCAAAATGAAAAAGCAGGTTTCCCCCCCCCATAAAAAATTTTCCCCATAGAATCAATTTTTCCCCAATTGGGAGGAAAATGATTTTTAATGTGGAAGGAGGTTGAAAATTCAGCCTATCAATAACTATCTTTTTTTATTTAGGAATTTCTTTGGGAAATTCTTTGGGAAATTGGGAAATTAACCTATTTCGGAAATGCACGTAAAGGGAGTGTCGTTGTAATTTCTCAAGTGACACTCCTTTCAAGGAGGGGAATGTACAATTTCCAACAGTACCCTTTAGACCCTTGTTTGAACATTAATGTGGAAAATGTCGTGAGACAACAAATGAAAATGATAAATTTGACAGAGATAAACATAAATTTCTCAATCATTTTTTTATCAGATTTTTAGGAAGGTGCAAAAATGTCGTATAGAAATAATTTGAAATTAGTCTTCACAAAATCTGATGTTTTTGGGACACACTGTATTTTTATGCCTCGTTTCAGGCCCTGCTGCATGAGTATAATACTGCCTGGATCCATGCTAAATCAAGTTCAGGCACATCAAAGAAACTTCCCTTCTTCCTCGCTAAGGTTAGGTTTAGGACCCCACCGGAATTCCGGATTATGTTCGGAAATGATGCGGAAATGTTCCAAAAACACCATTTTTTTATCTCCTCGCCCTCAGCCGGAAATATCCTAAATGTTGTTCAGATTACTAAATAAATGGTGTTTTGGGCAATTTACTCTTAAGTACTAACAACGGGTAAATGTTATTATGCGCTTTTCTTTTAACCCTTTTCAGGCTGGGACCCAGCCATGACGTTATTCAAATATAACTTTAAAAGTATTGATCTGAGGCTCTGTTAATTTTTTTTTACTTTTTTAAATTAAATTTTCAATTGCGGCTCAAAGCGGGGCTTTTAAAACTGACTCCTCAAGCATACTACCTGAATGCCTTATTTTATCTTTACACGACTAAATCTATATTTAGACCTACTTCCGGTCATTGGATCTCGATTTTTTATAGCTTTTTGGAAAGCCTTGAACAATAGAAAGCAGATTGCATAATTTTTTCAAAGAAATTTTTCATAGATTTTTGCACAGATGCCTTTAAAGAGAATTTGCACATTTTTAGTTTTCCTGGAATACAGATTTAGTTGTTGAAAATTTTGCAAATTTATATTTTTGCATATTTGAATTCGCCGTGGTAAGGGCTTTTAAAAATGTATAATTTATCATATTTCGCGGACTTTTTGTGTTTCACATTTTTTGCTCAATAACTTGATAATGCAATAAATATTTAAAATTTTGCAAATTAGCAATTTTTTCAGATTGTTTAAGTAGAGTCCAAGGGCTCCCTGTGATCCCCCCCCTCTCCCTCCCCCCGACTGTTTTGGGTAAATCAGACGTCAGTCTGAATAGGGTTAAAGCTAATTTCCTTCTAGTGTTTATGGCTGTAATTTTCAATATAATGTCATATTTATGATATTCGAGGAACAGCTCCTAGAATTGTATTATTTAATTAACAGTAAAACGCACTTTTTTAAAGTTAAATTTCTTATACACAATGATACCCTTGAAACCTTCATCTGTGCGACAATCATGACAGAGATACCGTATTTTTATTTTCAATAATCCTTTTAGCATGTTCATTTTACGGAGCAGCCACAAATAGAAATTATCAATTTTCAGATAGTAAATGATGGATATTTTCATATTCATGCTCAGACGAAGGTGTTAAAGGTAGCGTTGCAACAGGCTTTTTTTGATAAACTTTTTTTTCAGGTGACCCGCCATGCAGAGATGTCAATGCCCGATCCAAAAGGGTAGCCTTGAAACCTTTATCTGATCAATAATGTAAAAGATTTTGTCATTTTTCTAGGTTTACAATTCTAACAATTCTGATAAAAAAAATTCCAGGAGTAGAAATGCGCAAGTTTTCAAAATTATAAACATTGATATCTAACTCATACTTGATCAGACAAAGCTTTCAAGGGCATTGTTGTGAATCGGCATTGAGATCTTTGCATGGAGACTGGAGAGTCACCTGAAAATTACGCGGTCCCTTTCATAAAGAATCTAAATTTGTTCATTAATCTATGAATTATCTAAGAATAAAAAAGATATAGAAAGTTTTTTAATTTTTGTTTTTTATAATTAGTAAAAGTTAAGATAATTAATTATTAAAAATTAAGATTAAAAGTGTTGATTTGACCAGAATGGATCCATCCTGCTTACTCACAGATCTCCAGGTATCATTATTATTGTTATTATTATTTATTACACCGAAGTCAAAAGATTTTAATTTAGTTTTGAAATGAATTTTTCGTTCCTGATTAACAATTGTGTACGTTAGAAATGTTAAAACGTTCAGTGCATTTAAAAAGTTGCTAACATTTATTAGTTCATTAAAAACATTTTTTTAGTAATCATATTTTTAGCTTTTTGTTTCTGCTCTGTTGGTATAATCTAGTTATATCCAACAAATAACTAGAAATACAAGTGCGCAAACATTTTTTAAATTATTAATTATTGTTTGTTTTTCCTTTACAAATCATGTTTTGACGTCAAACTTATCAAATTCCTTGAAATTTCGGTTTTTCCAGTTTTTATTATACGAATAGTTTCTTAATAAAATGGGTGACTGTTTAATTCAAACTTAGGTCAAAACTTTTGTATTTCAAATATGCTTAAAACTGAGTCCAAATTGAATGAGTTTGAGCCGCGCTCAAATCTGCCAAAAACCGGTTTCAATTAAGCGTCGGCTTAAATCTCGAAACATTGAATACATTTTTAAGGGGAACCAACCAGCTCAAATTCTTTAAATTTGGCCTTTGCAGTATATAAATTTTTAATTTTTTATTAATCAGTATTTTATTTAATTTCTCATTGTACAAGTGTACACTGTGAATTTCGAGTTTAATCTAGTTTAGCTCAATGTTTGGCTTATTCAGTACTTGTACAAACCTTGAATATCTTGAACTGTCAGTCTTCAACATTTAGTTAAATTAATAAAATCTTGACCCTTTCCCTGCTGGCGTACTTGAAAACCAGGATACGTTAGGGGGGGGTTAATTTGCCCCCCCCCCCCTCCTATAAATACCATGTTTAGTGCCCTTATGTGAAAAATGGTACATAATAAATTAGCAAATTTGCAACAAAACATTTCCAGGAATAAGGTTAAACTTTTTGCAAAAAAAATGTCCAAAAAATAATAAAATATATATTTTTGAAAAGCCCACATGCCATTTCAAATATGCAAAATATGCAACATTTTAAAAAACCTGATGTGTATTTAAGAAAAACTAAATGTGTGCCAATTCTTTTGACGGGTTTTATGCAAATAATTTGCAAAAATTTCTTTGCAAAACTTGTACAACCCGTTTCCTTATGTCATAAGGCTTTCCAAAAAGCTAAAAATTATCAAAATCTGACAACTGAAAGCGGGTTAAGACAAAGATTTAGTTTGTTTCAGGAAATGTTAGTCATTCAGGCAGTGTGCCTGAGGACTCGGGCAGTAAGTATAAAAGCCCGGTTTATGACCTAAAGGGAGGTTTAAGGTATTTCAAGAGTCTCAATACTTTAAAATTCTCTTAAATTTAATATATTTAAAAATCTCTTAATCTAAAATCTTTAAAACTCTTAATCTAAAATATTTAAAGCTATCAAATCTTAAGTCTTGAAAACTCTCTTAAATCTAAATCTTTAAGATTCTCTTAAATTTAAAATCTTTAAAGATTCTCTTAAATTTAAAATCTTTAAAACTCTCTTAATCTAAAATATTTAAAACTATCAAATCTTAAGTCTTGAAAACTCTCTTAAATCAAAAATCTTAAAACTTTTATGAATCTAAAATCTTTAAAACTCTCTAAATCTGAAATCTTCAAACTCTCTTAAATCTAAAATCTTTAAAACTATCTTAAATCTGAAACTTTCAAAACTATCCTAACTATGAAATCTTAATAAACTCAATCAAATCTGAAATCTTTAAAATTCTCTTAAATCTGAAGCTTTTAAAACTCTTAAATCTAAAAGTTTTAAAACTCTCTTAAATCTAAAATCTTTACAACTCTCTTAAATCTGAAATCTTTAAAATTCTCTTAAATCTAAAATCTTTAAAACTATCTTAAATCTGAAATTTTCAAAACTATCCTAACTCCGAAATCTTAAAAATCTCACTTAAATCTGAAATCTTTAAAATTCTCTAAAATCTTTAAAACACTTAAATCTGAAATCTTTAAAATTCTCTTAAATCTGAAGCTTTTAAAACTCTTAAATCTAAAAGTTTTAAAACTCTCTTAAATCTGAAATATTTAAAACTCTCTTAAATCTAAAATCTTTAAAACTTAATTCAAAAATCTTCAAATCTTTAGTTGCCTCTTCTTCCTTTAATCCTAATATATCTATTTAGAAAAGTACATTCTTAAAAAAAACGATTATTTAATATTATCCCTTATCTGCGAACTTTGGCCAAAATATAATTGTTCAAATAAAGATCTGCCGTTAAGTCTGATATTTTACTTGATTGTACTTTTAGAAATATTGACACAGTAATCTCGCTACTGCTTAGTCAAGAGCTGAGGCAGAATTTAAAGAATTTGAGACTCGGCTTAAACATGGTTGGTTCCACTTAAAAGTGTTTCGAGATTTGAGCTGGGGCTTTTTTGGGGCCGGTTTTTGGCGGTTCAGCACGCGGTCAGTCTCAGTAGTTAAAAGGGACTGTCACTGTAACTTTAGGTGATTTTCTATCTAGAAAGAGCCATGTCCGATTTAGAAGGGTAACTTCCCCCCCCCCCTGTTTGCATGTTGTTAGGGATTGGTACACTGCACACACTCCAAAGGCCCATTCTTGCATTCTCTGAATTCATGCCTTTGTTTTATCTTTGTTTAATTCTATGTTTATTTAAAAGTATTAAGTGCAACATTATTTTAACATGAGGAGGATGAACATGAACAAATATACACTTTTCGGTCATATTTAAAGGGACTGTAAGCCAAATTTCAAGTCACTCTACATTCAAAGATGGCAATGCCCGATTCACAACGTTAATCGTGAATTCTGATCTAATAAATAATGTGGAAATGTCTTATTTTCTAATAATTTCTTTATGTTTTCTTAATGGCAATTAAAATATTTTTTAACATTAAATATCTACAGAAAAGAAAATTGAAATTTGGTTTTTTTGGTGAAAGAAATTATCAATACTATAGGAAATATTCATGAGATAAACCAAAACAAACTTTTAAAAATGAAGGCGGGGAACCTTTCTTACCCGAATTAAGAGTTTACGGAACGATTTTTCCTATTTTTTATTGAATAATCGTTCCGTAAACTTTGTTCAACATGTCACATCGGTAAAGATTCCGCCCTTTTTTTTAAGTTTTTAAAGCTTCAGGAATGGTTCCGTTAGGCCTTTACGGATTCAAATTGACATGGAAAAAAATTGAACTCCAGAATCCGGGATCCGCATAAAAATAAAATGGATTGTAATTACTGAGACTCTTATTGTGCAGGGCACTGTTTGCGGAAGTATTCATAGACAAGTGATAGAGAAGTATGGAGACTATATTCATTCCCAGGCTGTACTTGTTCTTCAGGAAATCAATCATTTTTTCTATTTATGAAAAAATTGTTATTCTTGATGTGATAGCTTCCTGAACTGAACTCAACTGAACTGAACTGAACTGAACTCAACTCAACTCAACTCAACTCAACTCAACTCAACTCAACTCAACTCAACTCAACTCAACTCAACTCAACTCAACTGAATCTTGCTAAAAAAAATGTTTTTGGTCATCCTTAAAGCTATAAAAGTTTTTTGCCTGTAAATTAGGTTTGGCAGTAACATTATTTATTTACATATACATTTGTTTTTATCCTATTCCGTTATTTATAACTAGTGTTCTGTTCGTTTTTTGTCTGTCATTCAGTGTAAAATAATACTCCGAGAAATATTTATATTTTTAAAAAATATGTAAAAACTTCCGAGGAGCTGGTTCCCGTATTACATCTCTTTTCTTACCACTGTACAGTATACAGTGCATGCAGGATGGAAGTAGGACTGCCCTAGAAATCTGATTTGATTTAACACTCTTCTTTAAAATATATTTTTCTGAAAAAAATCCGTAAAATTGAGTTTTTTTTCCACCCTCAAAAAAAATCAGTGAAAAGGAGGATAAAAAATTCAAAATAAATAAGACCGGAGTTGTCGGGCATAGTTTCATTTTAAGGTTAAATCTAGCTGCAAGGGTTCACATCATCTATAACGGAAAATTTTTTTAAATATTTACAATCTTCGCATTCCAAATAAAAGCCTTGGACATCAAGTTAAAAAAAACTTCCAAAATAAAAAGCTTAAATTTACACAACCTGCTTTTAGGTTAATTGATCTAATTTTGAAACACCCTGCACCAGTGCACTGTATATATTCTAAAGAATTACCCAAATATTGGGGAAATGATTTTGAAAATTTTTTATACTATTTACTCAAAATTTACTGAATTTTTTCCCCCACTTCAGCGACGAAAACTCTTAAAAAAATTATCCAAGATTCCCAATTTATGGGGGGTTAAATGAGTAAGGTTATAATTGATTTGCCTTGAAGGACGTAGCTGTTCTGATTACTCCAAAAACTTATTATGTGATGATAACTTTAAACAATATTCTCGCTATATACAGTCCTAAACAGGTACGACATTTTATTTGCTGTAAACAGACCCCCCTGGAACATAAAGAAAAAGATCAACCTAATAAAATAAGCTACAGTCCTAATCAGAAAGACCTGGAATTAATTTACAACTAACCAGACGTTACATTGTAGTTTTACAAATATGATTGATGAAACGATAATCACAAAATAGCCATAGCCCTGCCATTAATGTTGCTTGCTTTTTTGAGCATTTGAAATTGCCAGAGAGATATATATGTAAAGTCGTCTGATGAACTGGCAATTATTTCCGGGTCTTCTTGGTTATGACTGTATAATATATGTAATGAGGTTTAGTGCTGCTGGGTATGAAAAACGTGTGCCTTTTTAGACACGTTCTACTCTATAGTTTACTGTATACGCCACAAACCTTGTTCCTGAGCAGTAAATTTTCATCTTTTGATTTGAACCCTTTTTAAAGTTACCCACCCTCATAAGCTAATACTGTATGTGCAGAGTTACTCACAAAGAATAAGACTGTAAAGACGATCTGAAATATGAAGGCCAAAGGTTAATAAAATATTCTGCTCTGAAAATAATCTTTTATTGTAAATTTAATGATTGTACAAAAAAAAATAAACAAGTTTAGAATTGCAGGGATTCTTGAATATAATGTATTAAGGAACCAGATTGTAAACATTTAGTATACTCGTCTTTGTAGTATCTTCCTTTGTGAGTAACCCTGTAGATTGTATGTCGTCTAAAGAATATTTACGTATAGGCGAAGTAAAATTAAATGGACTGTGAGAATAATTTCAAGTTAACCCCAATGCCAAGATAGCAATTCCCGATTTACAACGGTACCCTTGAAACCTTGATCTCTTAAAAAATGTGGAAGATAACATCGTTTATCGTGTTTAATACTGATAATTTCTCCATTATTTCTTGTAGCAGGAAATGCGCAAGTCACTTCTGCAGAGAAACCACAAAAGAAAATAAATAGTTTAAATAAACAAAAATCTGAATACATAATTCATACTTTATCATGACAAAGCTTTCAAGGCTACCGTTGTAAATTGGGTATGGCTTTCATTGCATGAGGGGTCAATTGCGCGTATAGTCTCATTTAAAAACTCAATTCTTTCCAGGTAAAGCATGTATGTCGTCTTACTAAACTGGAATTAGAGAAGGCAGCTTCTGAGCATCAACAATTAAGACAGGTGTGATCATCTAATGTATCAATTAAATTTCTAAAATTTTCAATTTTTAACCAAAAAATTTGGTTTCAGTAATGCTTCAATTTTCTTGATTGACATTGATAGATAAGTTTCTGGCAACATATTTGATATTTTTATTTGATTAAGGCAGAAATAAGCATTATTTTTTTATATCTATGTTCCATAGAATTATTCTGTTGGGGAAAATGAAATGCTTGTGTTCATGACAAAGTTCCTTGCTTGTACTTTTTCCTCAGTCGAAAATTTTCAATACGCAACATGTTTCATAAAAATACGCAATACAATGATTTGAAATATTTCAGCTCCAACTGGAGGAGATTCTGAAGGATGTGGAGGGAGGCGTGCCTGAAGTGCCTAGAGTGCCTATAGGAGCGCCAATAGGAGCGCCAGGAGGAGGGGTTGAACTGGAGAAAGCAGTGACTCAAGTTGGAGAACAATTAAGTACATATAACAGGTAAAATATTGGTAACATCTTAGAAAATGTCGTCTGGAGCGCCCCCCCCCCCATAGTTCAAAAAACAGCATTCTATCTTAATCTTTATTTATTTATAACAAAGAGCCCCAATTGTGGATTCATTTGGTTTGTTGCACTGTCTCGTTTTGCCTTATAGTCTGTCACACGAAACTAAGCTAGTGGGGTAGGTTAAATAGGCTTATGAAAACCGAGCCGGCATAGAATAGGGTGCGGCCGTTACTTGCCGCGCGTACCTTTGGCCTGTACAAGGCGTCGTCGGGCCGGTTCGAATTCAAATTGACCCTAGTCCACTGTGCTGTATGTATGTCTGTACGGTGTACAGCTTGGTCTAACTGCTTTAAAGTCTAAAAGTAAACTGGAGTTTATTTTGAAATCATCACGTGGGAGGGATGAGGTCCAAATTTCTCAAATATATTCCGACCTAAAACAGAATATTATGAGAATAAAATTTGAAAATGAGAAAAATAACATCGAGAAATTAAAAAAAAAAACACGAGTTTGTAGTAGAAGAAATTTTGTTTAGAAGTTCGAACATCAGCTCTAATTCTTCATTAATTGGATTGCAAAGAAGAGCCAACCCTCCAGTATCCTCAGCTCAATCTGGTTTATCCCATCTCAATACTGGCTCAGCTACTTCATTTCAGCTCAATTTATCCGGTTACAACTCAAACTTAAATTCATCAGTTCACAGCTCAAACTTAGATTTATCAGTTCACAATTCAAACTCATTTAATCATAAATCATTAAATCAGGAACACTCAGATAGACATAAACTCATTTCACTTCCTCGCCCTTCAAACACTTCACTTCCTCGCGCTTCCAACACTTCACTTCCCCGCCCTTCAAACACCTCACTTCCCCGACCTTCAAACACTTCACTTCCTCGTGCTTCCAACACTTCACTTCCCTGCCCTTCAAACACTTCACTTCCTCGCGCTTCCAACACCTCACTTCCTCGACCTTCAAACGCTTCTCTTTCCCGCGCTTCGAACACTTCACTTCCCAGCTCTTCACACACTTCTCTTCCTTTGAATGTCAGCTCTCCGAATCTGACAATGCCTCCCAGTGATCAGGAGACCAGTATTGTCAGAGAAGGAGAAGAGATTGGGAACGTGTCCCAACCTAGAACAGGTAAAGAGTGGTATAGAGTGGGACTCATAAAATAGATAGATCATCAAAGTACATAATTTTACATTGATATAATTTTTAATCAAACACTTTAATAACGGGATGGTATACGAAATTTATGATGAATATTGAAAAAAAAATATATGTGTCTGTGTGCAGTGTACACTGCACAATTGCTGTGTTTCATGGATTATTTAAAATCTCTAGTTTAACAGTGGGCTTCATATTCCACAGTATTATGGTTCCCTCTGTATATTTTCAATTAATTAAAACCTGTTTATTCTGTTTTCAAAGGTTAGTTTTCTCATGAGATCGTTTGATTTAACTCTATGATCCATGCATACCCCGGAAGGAGGCAGAGAGTTGCAGGAAGGGGGTTGATACCTTATAGCATTTGAGTTATTGGGGAGTCATGATAGATAGATAGGTTGATAGATCATGTAAAATCTAGCTTTAATTAATAATTCTTAAATTCTTCTTGTGATGTTTGTTGTTTTCTTAGTCTATCCGGTGATTTTAACGGGAGTTTTGACGTCATTTCAAACAACTCTTCAGTTAGTGTCACATGTCCGATTCACAACGTTACCCTTAAAAGATTTGTATGATAAACAATGAATTTTTAAAAAATTTAATTTTATTGTTTTTAATTTCAGTATCTCTGTGAAATTAACTTAAAGGTGCGTGAAACTACCCCTTCCTCCAGCTTTTAGAGAATGATTGTTACTCATTTGAATTGATATGGAATCAGTTTAATTTAATCAAAAGTTCCCTTTTATATGGTTAAATAGGGTTTTTGGTTCTTTTATCAGAAAAATATGTTTTCTCTAGAACACGAGGAATATTGACTGTAAAATGCTTTTCCAAAGAATAATTATTTCTTACTTCCTAAAAAACTATTTTTACGGGAAAGGTGTTGGAAAAATATCTTTCTTTTAGGTTCACCAACTACAGATATATTCCTAAGGCCAGCTCCTCCTAGTGCAAAGGTAATTTTATACAGGGTTATCCACAAAAACAGCGACTAGAGAAACGACTGTACAGAATTTATACTTTCTGTGTCCTTGTACTCAGGATTCCCTGCAGCGATAAACTTCTTTTTTCTTTTCCAAATTATTAAATAAACCATTTAAAAACTTCATTTAAGGCAGAAGGTTTGATTTAAACTTCTTATCGTCATATTTGTAGAGTCGTGTTTACAGACTCATCCTTTGTGGGTAACCTTGTATTTCTTTAAAATCTTAATTATTAGAATAGGATGATATTTGCAATTTTTGTTACATAATAATCCTGCTGTTACTGCTGAACTACCATTATAATTCACGGGATAAGCAACTTTTTGTTGAAGCAATAAATAGCGAGACGTATATAAACTAGGTAAACCTAGTTATACTACTTCTTGCTTTAACATCTGTTTATTGTTTTAGAAAGGAAAGTTTGTGTTCAAACCATCTGGAGGGAGTTCACAGTCATCTCAGTCAACTTCACAGTCAATTATGGCGCCAAGTCCAACAGTTTTGGCGGGAAAACCTCCTGGCGCTGATGCCGCAAGTAAATTCAAAGAATCTCCTGCTCCCAGTACGGTACAAAAAAGCGGATGGGGCCATATAACCGTGCCTGTACGGGGGACCAGGCTCTCCAAACCAGCAGACAACCAGACTATAAGCTCGTCACAGGTTCGCATTTTTATTTTATTTTTTCAACCATATTCTACTAATAACTAACAAGTAAAAATACAAAGAGAAAAAAGAATGTAAAAGAGATTTCATATTTGCACTTGAGATACATTCAAAATCCACTTTTCTTTAAATTTTAAAGAATCAAGCAACATTGTCAGGGGTTTGGTTTTGCCCCAGACATTCTTTAAGGGAACTATATTTTGTAGCATTATTTCAATGAACTAAAATGGTGATGAGTACATTTACCAAAATAGTTTTTTACGCACAAAGGATGTGACTGTTACGATATGAGCTCAATAGCTCGGAATAGGGATAGTTCCATTGCTGTAACCTCTTCAGTTCTCATACTAACCCAGAGCTAAGCTCAGATTGCAAGTAGTCGGGCCTATAAACATGACAGCTCATCAGCTCTTTTGTATATAGCTATAGGTCAGACAGAAAGTGGGGCGGATGATAAGTCACCTCTTGTTTAAAGTATTATGATAGTTGTTCGTTTAAAGATGTCATCCAGAAATCATGCTTTCAACGCGTGGAAAAAAAACCAGCCGCCGTTAAACTCTCTATTTAAAACTCAGGCCAATTCAGGCCAATAGGCTTTTATACACAAAGGAGATTTAACCCGTCATATGAGGCGGAGGAAAGGCGGAGAGTTTGCCAGAGAGCTCCGGCTTCAAATCATTAGTATCAAACATTATCTGTTCTTTTTTATGCTGTAAATGCATTTTTGTCTATACTCTGTAGACTTATTCACGTCAGTTTCAGGCTTTACATTTTCTTTACTTTTGACCATTTTTAAATGGTAACAGTGACTTGAATGACCACCTGACACTAAGAAACAAATATAGTAACTGCTGCAAGAAACCATTAATGTAATTTATGCACAATCGTCTCTGAAGTCTCACCCTTGAAACCCTTATATTCATAATAAAGATAATTTAACGATATTTAAGATATTAAAGTATTTTCTTCAAGAATTTCTGGAGAAAAATGTATCTTTATCTAAACGTGATTTCCTTGGAACCATTCAGTAAAGTGTGGCATCGTCGATTCACAAAGGTTATATCCTTAAAATCTTTATCTTTGCAACAATGGGAAGGATATCGACGTTTTTCTTAATTAAAAATATGGACTTATGTTACGTTCTTCGTTTCTGCAAGTCATTTTTATAGAGAAATCATTAACAAGAAATTGTCAATTGTTGACTAGTAAAACAAGAATGTTTTCATAATTTGTGTCTAGACTAACGTTGTAAGAGTAACTTTGTGAATTGGGCGTTTGCACTTCAAAAATAATGTTTCATGTGTAATATTTTTTTGTTTTCAGGCTCTGATAGACGATCTAATCAGTGATTTGGACGACGACATTTTTTCTGGTTTTTGAAAATATTTTTGTAATATTGTTCAGTATCTACTCTAAATTTGTGCATATTCATTGTTAAAATATGTTCTATATTCTTTAGATATTTATTTTTATATCGGATATTGTCTAAATACAGAATGTAAACTGTCAAATATTTCTTGTAGAACTAGAAACGAGGTTTTGAATTTGATGTTGTAAAAATTAGTTTAAACCATTTTCGAAGCAAAAATCAGCAATAAAAAAGTTAGAAATCATTCGAATATTTGCATTTAATTGTGGGGTTTTTATTAAAAAAAAAACGTTGGAATGGACAAAATATGACCCACGTTATCTTCCACAATATTGATCAAAATAAGGTGTCAAGGGTGAATCAGCCATCACTTTATCAAATAGTGGCCCATTTGAAGCCTGTTTAGTTTAAAACCAAGATAAATCAAGGTAAATCAAGGTAAATCAAGATAAATCAAGGTAAATCAAGGTAAATCAAGATAAATCAAGATAAATCTATTTAAATCAAAGAGCTATATAAATCAATCTAAATTCAAGCTAAATCAAGAAACTAAAATTTTAACTTTAAGGTACAATAGGATAATTTGATTTTATGAAATTTCAGTTAATAAAGCATGTCTTATTTTTTAAAATCTTTAATATGGCACAGTGGTTTGGGAGTTGCGCTTCGGAACATATCCAAATTGATCCAGTGGGTCCAGTGCTCAAGGGAGCACTGGACCCAAGAAAGGTTCATGCCAACAAAACCAGTTGGCGTGATCCATAGTAATGGAGCCAGTGCTCCCTGTTTTACAAAGGAAAATTTTTTTTAATCGTATTACCAAGGTGAAATGTTGGATGTGCATCAGCCTTGCCACTGGGCTGCTATACACAGTATTCATGAATTATTTTTTATTTTACTTTATTTTCAAAGCTAAATATGTTTGTAAATTAACAAGTTTCAATTGTATTCTATCCTATTATAAAACTTGGTAACTAACCACCACTACACTAGGATAATCATTTTAGGTATTTTATCCAATAGTTCAAAGAAGGTTTTTTTTTGGGAGAATTTTTCTTGCCTGGTTCATTGGATCCATAATTTACCAGATTCTTAATTCAAATAGAACTGGGATGTATGTGCATTGTGTATTGCAGTAACCCGTCCATAGGCTGATGATAGAGGATTCTTCTGAGGCCTTCTACGAAACTAGAACCTAACCATTTTAAAACTAAAAAATTTTCACAATTTGTTTCAAAAAGAGAGTGGACTGCACTTGTAAAAAGTATCTTCTAAACCAAGTACAGAAACATGACAAAACCAAGACCACTTGGAAAGTATGAAAGTATGAAAAAGATGAAAAACTTGTTTTTTTATGACAATTTTATTCATAACTGATAAGAGAATACTTTGTGGTTTGTAACAGCTGACATTTAAAATTCTTTTAACTTCTTTTGTTAATTGTCAATTTTTTGGTCTGCCCTAGTGAACGATCCTATCAATTTTGTACATTACCAAATTAGTATTTATTTAGAATTATTTAGGGTTAGTTTGTTAAGACACTTTCTGGGCCGAGCGCTGCGGCTAGGATGGGCTAGGGGGCCGAGCCCTGCGGCCACGGGTTAGGTTGGTTAAGACACCCTCTGGGCCGAGCGCTGCGGCCACAGGTTAGGTTAAGTTGAGACACTTTCTGTAAGATCCATGTAAAAAATTGATAAGAGGGGGGGGCCTGGGGGGTCCAAAAATCGTTCTCTAGGAATATACCCAATTTTTTTTACTCGAACTTAATTAGTATATTAGAAAATTAATGGAAGGGTAAAGAACACACTTCACTGTACTACAGTGTACACATGTACATTGTTCATACAGGGTTACCCGCGAAAAATGGATGTTTACAATCATGTAAAAAAGCAAGGAGGGGGCAAAAAGGTTTCCATACACTTTGCTGTGACGTTTTTGGACTGCTGAAGAACTAATTTTTGCGTAAAAACAATAACAAAGGCAGCGGATCTAATGTAAACAAACATGAGTTGGTATACGGTGAATCTTCATCTAACGCCAGAGATGCGCCAGATGTCTGTTTATCATTTGTGTTATTGTTTACAATCTTTATTATTGTTGTTACGCAAAAACTAGTTCTTCAGCAGTCCTAAAACGTCACAGCAAAGTGTACGGAAACCTTATCCTTCTATTCAATTCTCCTTGGAAAAAAGGGGCTTGATATCAAAAACATCCCTGGCTGTATTCAATAAGCAGATGCATTGAAGAAAAGTCCTTTTTATGAATTGACGTCTCAGCCTTGACCTCATTTTCCCAAGACTTATGACTTTTTTTCTTGGTTTTTATTTTCTTCGATATTATTTTCTTCCTGTGATCTTATTTCCTATTCCAATTTTAGAAAAAAAAGTCCCAGGAACGTAAAACTCATTACTTTCTCTCTTGTGACAATTTGTCCTAGGACTTCAGAAAATTTGAAATTTTTTATCAAAACTTGTATTTCCAGGTTTTTTTTCTGAAACTTTTTTCCTGTGACTTTCTTACGTAGATTCGATTCAAATGGTTTATATGGTGAGTCTAAAATTACGAGAAATTGAAATTTATCAAATAAAGTGTAATTTGAAAAAAGTTTATTATGAAAAACAAAAAATAAAAAGAAATCTCCTATGGCCAACTATGAAAGTAGAACATCTTTATTTTAAAAAAATTATGCGAAATTGGAATACCTTAATTAATAATAATCGAAGTACCTTATTTAGTAATACATTTCCCTCGATATAAAAACCCATTTTAGACGAAACTTATGAACTTTTCTAACTTTAAAAAAAATGAAATTAAATGCTAGAAAACTCATTTTTATTAATGAAAATGTTTTCAAAAACTATCGTTTTTTTAAGAAAACAATCATATCATTGTTCCGTTTTTTGTCTTTAAAACTTCAATTCGTTCTTTGTAAACCATCTTTTTTTAAAACAACACCATTGTTGTTAGACAAAGCAAAAAACGGAACAAAAAATTTTCGTTTTTTAGATCGTTTTTCAAAACGATTGACAAGCCTTTTTTATCACAATAAAAAAATTTAATTTTGGGTAAACCAGACTTCATTCAGAATAGGGATAAACAAGATAAGAATGTTTATTACTATTGAATTCAAAATTTGCTTGTCACACTTCAAAGGTGAATGAAAGATATAAATGAAGCCAGAGACAAGAATTTTTCTTTAAAAGATCGATTATATTGATCGCAGGACCTCAATATCTACTCTGGGCCCTTTGAGGCTCAATGCTTGATCCCTGGAATAAACTTAACCCTGCAGGGTATAAGCAATAGCAAAGAGATATTAAATAAAATAAAATCTACAGAAGATCCCTGAAATTTACAATACAAAACTTCTGAATTTTGAATTTATCAAAAAAGTCTTGTGGCTTGACAATATGGGTCCAAAAGTTATAGATAATTTAATCTACAAGGGTTTGCATCATTATTCTCCAACTGTTGAATGATCCAGTCCATGCAGATACTAACACTTTGATAAATATCAGGTTTACGAACATCTTTATCCTCACAGCCACATCGACAGGGTATCGGAAGCCTCCATTCGCCTGGCATAAGAGCACTCGTTATTCCAACTGTCATGACATATCATCTTTTTAAATTTCAGGTTGATGGCAAGTGTAGCCATTCCTCCCCCCCCCCCACTATAATACCTTAGCCGTGTAACTCGAACCCTATCCCCCCTGGCCCGGCCAACCTCGCCCTAGCTGCCCTGACCCATTGTTTCTTCTGCTAACCGACCCCTGCACTACCTAGAATAACAGAAAAGGGAGTTAAAATCTCCGGGAAAGAGATTTTGGCTAGGATACTTATCAGTTCTAAACCAGCCCCGTGCAAGAGAGAAGAAAATTCTATCAACTCCCCACGGTGCAGTGGTAGGACAGACAATCTAAGAAGCAGGCATCTCAGGAATAGAAACTGCAGCAGGCATCTAAGGAATAGAAACTGCAGCAGGCATCTAAGGAATAGAAACTGCAGCAGGCATCTAAGGAATAGAAACTGCAGCAGGCATCTAAGGAATAGAAACTGCAGCAGGCATCTAAGGAATAGAAACTGCAGCAGGCATCTCAGGAATAGAAACTGCAGCAGGCATCTAAGGAATAGAAACTGCAGCAGGCATCT